TCTGAGCTCAGATCTGTACAGTCTCGGCCTGGTCAGCACCTACATGGACAGTGTCATGTCAGAGATGCTCGGTCAGAAGCCGCAGGGACCCCGCAACAACACGTGGCCCAACAGGGACCAGAGCGAGGGTGTGTTTGGAGTCCTGGGAGACACTCTGCCATTTGACCCAGCAGGTGAGATCCACCTTCCTACATGTTTATGAGGGGTTTTGTGGATCATCTATAATGAAATGAGACACATTTTTTAAACAGATTTAGTATAAGAGAAGATATAAAAGAAAATAAAGGTGAAAACTCTTTGTATTCATGGATTACATTTGTTGGAAAATTGGTTTGAAACAATCTATCAGTCCTTTTTGGAACTGTAACATGATCATTTGCACTGTAAAACATGTGAGCTCCCTGTGTTGGCCTACAAACTTTTATATTGAGAGACAACACACATCAAATCAGTAGATAGGGGATAAATTGTAGTGGATTGTGTCTCCGTAAGCAAGAGAAATAAAAACACATTATTGTACAGAACAGTGTTGTTGTCCTGAGTTACCTCCTGGGTTCATATAACCAACGTGAAACATTCGAGATGTTTGCATTAGGAGAGCAGCTGACAAAGAAAGTTATTCATCTAAATTAAAATCCTTATCGACAGTACAGAATTCCATGCTGCCAAAATAATCTGATTAAGTGTTTCGTTTTATTTATTATTTGTTTACTATTTTACAGCCATTCAAGCAGTTTCCAGACAAACACGTGGCTCTGATCTGAGTAAAAGAATGAATATAGATAGTCTGAGCAGCTGGTTCCTCCTGCATTTGAGGGTTTATGCTGAATTTAATCTGTGTGGCTTTCTATTTTTACAGAGCAGCAGACTCTTTTGATTGCAGTCGAGGCCTATTGTGCAGAGTTGACTTACGGCCATTGTGATTTTTCTGCTTTGGTAGACAGTCTGGCTAAACGGATTGAGCCCCGGGGAGCCAAAGAGAAAAGCTGAGGGTGTCAGAAACTCATAGTTGTGTTTATCCTCCTCTTTCCATGCGCAGTTGGCTCGGATCCAGAGTTTGCACGTTACGTCGCCGGTGTCAGTCAGGCCATGCAACAGAAACGGCAGGTGCAGCACATCCGTCGCCCTAGCAACACTCGCAGCAACTGGCCAATGCCCGATGAGCAGCACCGGACCTGGTCCCACCCTGAGTACTACAGTGAGGGGTAGGTATTCACACATGGCTTCTCCATAACCTCTGATCCAATCAAGTACAGGAAAGAAATATAAATATTAACAAATATAAAAAACGAGATTCCTATGATCCAAGATTCCGTGTTTTGCGTAGTGCGGAATTGTTTTATGGTTATTTAAAGCATATTTTCATCATAAAACAAAATGGCGTTTGACAATGATTGAACACATCTTCAATGTGTGAAGCATTTTCCACCTTAATCGTGACCGCTGTCATTAATTTTTCTCATAAATGTGAGACACCGTCAGGCTTAGAGACTAATTCGGGACATGAAGTAGATGTAAACAACCAGCTGTTACTGCCATGACAGCTCACTCATAAACCATGTGCAATAATGTTGTAGTTTCTGCAAAGATTTAAAATAACATGTTTGTCATGAAACCATTTTCTTATACTGCCTCATCAGCTTGTAGGTGTCATCAGAATAAATATAGAATGTGAGGTTCATTTAGCACCATATTGTCGACCGCATTATAGAAACTCACACCTCCTCTGGTTGTGTCCTCAGTGAGGCCGCCGTGAACAGCAGCTGGTCGGCCAATCAGGGGGACTCGGCCAGCTCCAGCGATGAGACGTCGTCAGCCAATGGGGACAGTCTATTCTCCATGTTTTCTGGGCCAGACCTTGTAGCAGCAGTTAAACAGAGGAGGTAAGTCCTGAAGTCGTCCTCTGTTTTAGATTTGTGGTTTTTCTTGTTATGCTGGTGAAAATACCTCCTGGAGCTCAGCTGTGATCAGACTCTCTGTTTACGTGATGGGGGTCATTGTGAATTTCTGTGTCCTTAGAAAACACAGCTGTGGTGAGCCGGAGGTGTGCACCCTGCCCTCACCACCACTCCATCACATTAGCGATGACAGCCAGGTAAAGTGTGAACTTGATTATTTTTCTTATGACCAGGTCACCCAACATCTAATCATAGTACATTTTTAGTCATGATTATTAAGTGTCTTTATTTATTTTTTTTCAATGAAACATCAGAATTTGTTTTAAACCTTGTTTTAGGTTTTTATTTCTGTCTAAATTCTTGAGCATGACTTTCTACCTTGACTGACTTCTGCCTGCTGCGCTCCACAGGACAGCAAAACTAAAACCTGGCCTCCCAAAGCCCCATGGCAGCACTCCACCCACACCAACACCATGCCCAATCCCAGCTCTTCCTTGTATCAGATGAACATCCCTCCTTCCTCCCAGTGGAGCGACTCCATGCAGATGCTGCAGTCTCCTGTGTGGTCCACTGCCAGCGACTGCTCCCCCTCCACCTGCATCTCCTCTGGTTTTCCCAGTTTCACCCAGCAGCAGCAGCAGCAGCAGCAGCAGCAACAACAACAACAACAACAACAACAACAGCAGCAGCAGCAGCAACAACAACAACAACAACAACAACAACAGCAGCAGCAGCAGCAGCAACAACAACAACAACAACAGCAGCAGCAACACAAACCCATGACTAAGGGCTTTAAATCCTTCCCCCTCAAACACGAGCACAGGCCCTCCTACCTTCACCAGTACTGACCAATCCGTAATGTCGAATGAGTCCACGGTGAAGTGCCACGGAGGAGCTGTAGCTCGTGTTCATTGAGCCACTGAGTGGGCCAAGCTGCAGCCTTTTACTCTCTACACCCACTGAATTGGAAGATTTCAAAGCCTCAGAGGCAAAAATTAAGTTCACACACTGGCTCAACATTTTTGTATCTATATTTTTCCATATCACACATCCCCATTTGAAAGAGAGACATATTTTGAAGTTTTTTCAACTGCCATGTTTTAACTACAGAAAAGGTGCATGTGTCATGCTGGCAGCAGTTAGTCTAAGTGGTTGTTTCTCTGTCTGTTGAGCTGACGTCTCCTCAGACAAGAGCTGGAGACGTGCACGGCCGTCACCCACTTGCTTCTGCAGCTTAACGTGTGAAAGCGTGAGTGTGTGTGTTTGTGTGTTTGTGTGTGAGTGTGCGTGAGTGTGAGTGTACGTACGTGTGTGTACGTGTATGTATGTATGTGTGTGTGTGTGTGTGTGTGTGTGTGTGTGTGTGAGAGAGAGAGAAGTAAGGGGGGGGGGGGTTAACAAGGGGCAGGGGCTTGAAATGCTCTCATTTTGCCCACATTGATGAATATACTGTGTCTACATAGCTGTAACTGCCAAATCTCCCGCTAGATGACTCAGAATACAGCTACCATCTACTGTTTCATAGCTTGTAAAATACTGAAGTAGAAATATAAATATTTAGTTCTTTTTATTAAGAGGCTTTGAGCAGGCTCAGCATAATTATAGTAAATCACTGCAGAGGTGTAATTTGAGTGAGAAATACACTACCTTTTTCAACAACTGACCAGAGTTATGAGTGATCAGTAACTGTGTGCCATGTTGGTATTGATAGCACTTGCAAAATTAAATTTCCAACCAAAGCGTTGTCGAGATGACAAACGGCGTTGACGAGATAGGAGTTAACACACCCCACCTCCCGAGACCATAAGTGGGGCGTCTTCACACCCGCTAGCAAGTTCAATTCCTCCTCTCCAATTGGTGGTTGTTTGCGCCAGATTGACACTAACTCCAATAAACCTAAACGTTTCTTCTGTTTAATAATACAATATTTTTCTTGTACAACTATTGACAGTATTAATCTTATTTTTGTATTTTCTTACATGTTATACCATTACTGTATGTTAGTATTCTTGTAGCCATATTACATGAAAACATTTATTTTCCACCTCCCAATATGTGAAAAAAAGCACATTTTTTTCCTACAAGAGTTGAACTACACCATCTTATCTCTAAAGGTTACCAAATATGCCATTCTAAACACTAAACCAGTGTGTGATGAGGGTGTTTTCGAGCCCTTGTTTCTTTGGTTTCTATGGCGATGGGCTGCATTTAAAGAGCCCAGAATGTTATCTTTTGTGATGTTTGCGGATGCCAATGTTGCCTGTATTTATGAAATGACACCATGTTTTCAGAAAACTAACATACTTAACATGTTTACAGAGAATTGTTTGCTGTATATACATATAAATATATATCTTTTTATAGTCAATGTGCTTTGCACAATCAAGATATAGGGTTTGTTGCTTTTTGTCTGTGTTATCTTCCTAACTCTTACAGCCTTTTTTAAAGACATCATTACAGACCTTGGACTGTAACTGTTAGCTTCTCGGCTGTGTCAAATGGTTTACTAGTGGCTTCTACAAAAAATAATAAAAAAATAAATAAAAAAACACGTTGCCCTGATAGAAGATATGAAGGGGAACTGCTTGGCTTATGTTGCTTATTGTTCTCTTGAGCTGGCAACTGATTCTTTCCAAGTGTACCAGCAATGCAAAAAACAAATAAAAATGACTAGCAATTCAAAATGATGTCTCTGAGGTTCTTTCTGTTCAGAATGTTGCTCACTAAAATGTCTAAGGTCTCTCTGCTCTGGAAACAAATGTTTAAGACTCTGTATTTATGTAGCATGATGAGTCCTGGTGTCAACTCAAAGCACTTTACAGAACGTTGTCACACATTCACACCGTGCAGCACTTTATCACACGTCACTCACACACTGCTGGCACAGCAGGCAGGGACTCTTTGGGTTCAGCGTCTTGCCCAAGGACACTACAGCACATGGACTGGGGGAGACTGAGATCAAACTGGTGACCTTCTGATTAGTGGACAAACCGCTTTTACTCCTGAGCCAAACCTGCCCAAAATCCAAACAAATATAATACTACTGGACTTCGTGTGCATTCATACTGTTTGGTGTCAGAATTGTTTCAGAAACTCAACTCCACCTTTAAAAAAAGATGTTTTAATGTACATTTCAGAGAATATTCAAACACAAAACACTGATCTGAAACACCGGTGATTGAGAATGTGTCACATTACTGAAACCAGCTCAGCATAATAAATCCATTTCCTTGTGGTGCAACATTGTCTTCAGTGTGACACACCGCTCGACTGACAGAGGCTGCCTTCATCCTGTGGGTCCAGCTCCATCCATCGCTGGTGTGGAGGCTGGAGCGTCGTTAGATGCAGACTGCAAACACAGACAAGTGTTAGGATCAGGAAACGACTCATCAGTGCAGAGGTAACTTCTGTGTCATGTGACTGAAACTACATTTGAGGAGGAGGGCGTGTTGTCAGGGCTGGCATCAGCTATGGTGGCCAGGTAGACGATGTTGCGGTGCAGGATCTGCTGGTATCTGATGAGGAGAAGGAGAAGGAGAAGGAGAATAAGCCACATGAACCCACTGAGTCCAACAGTGAGATGAGCTGGATGAGTGAAGACTCACTGGACGCACTCCACCGCTCGACCTTTCTGCATGTACTCTGTGATACATCTGACCAGCTGGTCGTTTTCATCCAGCAGCTGAGACAAGACGGGACACAAGGTAAAACACTGTCCTCTGCTTCATACCGCGTCGACAGGACACAACAATGTCAACGAACGAGCGGGCTTATGAGCGAGCAGCTAGCAGCTAGCTAAGGCTCGCAGCAGTGAAGTAAGGAGGTTCGAGCTAACAGCTAGTTAGCCGGACGCTAAACACCGTTAGCTGGTCTCTCACCCTCTGTATCGTCTCCTGGTTGATTTTGGCTTTTCCTCGTAGTTTCTTTGGCACAAACACGATGGACATGTTGGTGACGTCTCAGTTCGCCGCCTGCTTCCATTAGCTCTGTGTTTAGAACAGGACTCTGCCCTCACTGCTTCCGCTTCCGCCCGACGGACAACTGCGTGGCTGTTGTTTGCATTAGCGCCCCCCGCTGGAGAGTCTCCGACATTTTATTTGAGGGTTTTTTTTATTCCAAGATCAACACGATGTTTCAGCTCAGTGAGTGTTTCTCATGATGTGGATGTGATAATACTGACAACAACAATAGTAATGCTAAAACAAGAATATGATGATGATGATAATAAGCACCTATCTCAACAAGACACAAATTAGATAACATAAAATTAAATATATATAAAAAAACATCTGTTAAAACCAGTTAAAAACCAGGCCTTAAAAGGCTTCCATATAAAATATATGCTTTTCTTAAGCCCCTTTTTTAGTCGGTCACTACTTGCACATAATTCAAGTTCAATTTTCAACCATGAAACATCCAAACCTTCAGAATGATTTGACTTTTGCTGCATTTTTTGATTTAATAGGTAGCTACATTTATCCTTTTCAGCTTAACTCAGAACCTAAATGTTGATTTGATCAAATGATGAGTTATTTTTGAGTTTGTAATGAGGAAGAACTTTGAGGAGCAGCAGATTCAGTCCTGCAGCTCCTCTACTGTGAACACTTGTGCCACCCTCAGGCCAGGTTTGTAAGAGCTGACCCAGGATCAGTCACACATCATTAAAAACCTGCTCATTTTGTCCTCTTCCATTGTTTGAGCAGACAGTGTATTAGAAAGCAAACACAATGTGATTGAGTGTTATGCAAATATGAGAATTATGCAAAACGAGTAAATGCCAGCAGCTACCAAAACATTTATTTCTTTTTAACACAATGTAAAATAGTGACCAAAAGTATTTGTGCTCAAAATCTAATGATAACATTTTACTGCCTGAATGAACTGCCTGAAAGACGGATAGTCTTTTTACTTTTGATCTAAATTAAATATCAGGTGTCATCAAAATATATATTGTGAGTTTGTCCAAACAGTGTGGATACATACTTTATTAAACGGGCATTGTTTTTTTATGTATTTGTGGTAATGGGCCTTTTCTCAGCAGGAATTATTAAATGGTCACAGTGAAGCAAGGTGTCGATAAGAACACACAGTTCATCAGTCAGCTCAATGTCAGGGACAAGTGCAGACCTTGTTAATCTTAATTGTTAGTGATATTAACGATACCCATTAAGCAACTGAACTTCCTCTCACACTAATCTGGTTAAGAGATAAACACAGACATACAAACAGTGATTTTGTGTTGCTGCTGATTTTTCTGCAACAGGATTTAAAATATGTCTTTCAGATTTATGTCATTAACTAAATTGACAGTCAGAGAGCACATATCTCACAGTTTAAGGGTCCTTGAGTCTCTTGAGAGACACTATATACATTTTTAACTAAACAAGGGTGAAACAACCTCTTTAGATGTTAAGGCTGAGTTTCTGTTCACTGACTGTTCCGCTTTAAGGACAGTTACTTTTTTAAAGTTATCTTTTTATGGTCAAACTATATACTTTGAAAGAACTGCAGGATGCTGTGTCTCTTTTCACATTGACCTCACCTGACTGCTGAAGGACAATTTACACACATGTCCAAATGCACAAACACAAGGTATGTTTAGGTAGGTAAGTTTAAAGGAGATGTTAAGCTGACAGGGCATTTCTGTAGAAAAATATCAAAACAAATCAGTGACAAAAAGAAAACAGACACATGGAATTTGTATTGAACTCTTTATTTGATGTAAAAACTCAATTTTGCTGATATTCTCAAGAAAACGATTCCTGGTTTACAATTCCAGTGAGTGGAAGGAGTAACAAACATATGAAACATGTCAGTTTTTTAATTGCTCAGTAATACTTATTGTCTCCAAATTCAATCTTGCTGGTTATTGCGAAAGCCCATATAAAGTGGTGGCTCCTAAGGCTATCATGCAGTGATCTGCAATATCCAGTCAAACAGCACAGATTCAACTGGGCTGCTGTGTTTGAAACAGCCACAGCTACATAAGATTCTCGTCTCAGCGTGTAGTGCTATCATTACTTTAGTCAGAGTGTAACCTTTAAGTTAAAGGGACAGCTGTAAAAATTGACGACTGTGAAGACACTCCCCGAAGTACTATCAAATCAGAGCCAAAAAGAATGATCCCCCCGCCCCCCCCCCTACGCACTGGCCCCTCGTCCAGTTCTTGTCCCTTTGTTCACATGTTTGTAAAAAAGAATAAGTTCACTCCAGAGAACAATCACATTGACAACAATGCAACAAGAGGAGCTACAAACAAGCCAGAGATCTGCTGCCATCTGTACCGAGACATCTCTCAATCCATTTACAAGATTCCCCACTTTGAGTAAACGATCCTCACAACATACTGCAGGTACTTAGTGTTGCAGTGGAAAACAACTGACTGTACACACAACAAAAACATTGCAGAAGACCCAACTGTAAGACAAAGGATGCTGTCAATAAAAAAACAAGATGATGGCTCATTATGTTTGGACATAGAGAGGTTAAAGAGGAATTCTTGGATTTGTCAACTTGGGCCCTGTTTAAAAGTGTGGATGTGCAATCTGAATGGCATTTAGTGGATTGCCTCAGCGGCTGTAGCTTCAATATAATCTTATTGGGAAATTGCGAGTCCATAAAATGTCCACTAAAAGTTTCTTATCAAATTATTTTCCTGTGTCTTTGCTTAGAGTCTAGCAACATTACACGTCTGGGTCAACGAGATGTCGCACTGAGACACGGGTTGTTGCAGGAAGACGGAGCTGATGAAGCATCTGACTTCGATGCCCGTCCCTGCTTGTTATTGCAGGACTAAATGATTCAATCCAAATTGAATAGTGAACGAGGGGAGAGAGAGAGAGACAAGCAGAGGGATGACGAGCTGCTGCAGTTAGGAATGAACCTTCTCGTTCAGCGAGATGTGTAATGTTGCAAGACTCTTGGAAAAGAGCCAGAATAACAATTTGAGCCTTTTATTGGTGAGAAAAACAACGTATGGTTAACATTTTTGGCAGTTGGCCCATAAGATGATATTGCAGCTACTGTCGCTGTGCCTGCAAACTTCTTTTTGTAAAAAACAATATATTACACACCCACAGTTATAAACATTGGGACGAGATTGAAAAATACCCGAATTCTCCTTTAAGAGGGTTAAAGAGAAACTATGACATAACAGCTGATAATATTTTGTATCTTAACCCTCATATTATTTTTGGCAAAAGTTGGGATTTTTTTTTTATCCATATCTAACGTGTCCAAATTTGGAATAATAATCTCGATGACTTTCTTTCCTTACAAGTCCTAAAGGCGTTAATAGCAATGGATGACTTTCTTTTCAGACACAAATCATGGGAATGCTCGTTCCTTAGTCAACTATATAAACAAACCTGCTCAAAAAAAATCTACAGTTAACAGATAATTCTAAAGCTATTACTGGTAAACCTTGTACATCATTCAAATGACTGGTTCCTGTTAGTTTCCTGCAGAAGAGCAACTACAAAAACAGAAAACAATTCATTGAATGTTGGAGGTCTAAAGGGTCAAAGCATCATCCAATGATTCTATCTACTGAGCACGCCTCTAAAAAGTAGAAGTGTGTCTGTCTGTCAAACCATGATTTGCTGGAGGGCACTAAATATAAGAGGAGCTAGATATACAATCATGTATTCATTACGGATCTCGGTTTTGATTTTTCTTTCAGTTGGTTTTGACCTCACTAATTCATCGAGAATAAACGGATGTAAAAACAAAGTCCTGCAAAATGGACAAAACACTGAACACATGGCAACCCACCTAAATCTGAGCGGAGAACGATGGCGCAACAGGCGATGCAATGAAATTTGGTGCCAACAAATATTATATAAGAGACCTGAAAGAAAAATGAAAAATAAAGCTATCGATCACACGAACTGTGATCTGCTCACAGTAACAGTGGGCTTTCTGCATACAGCTTTCAATATCAAAGATGCCTTCTATAAGAAATTAACTTGATCGATGCAAAAATACAGCATTACTCCAAAGCACGGTATTTACACATCATGTCCATCTGATGGCTGTTTATCAAACTAAACTTCTGCACTCTCACCCCCTGAAGTCAAATACTTGACCCTGGTGCTGGTGACTGAGAGGATTTCTTCATTTTTTTCCTGTCAAATGTAGAGACCAAATAAATTTCTTGAGCTGGAATCATTTCTTGATGAGGGGCTACAGTTCTTTGTGGATCCATCGCTCTTGTACTATGCAGCCACTTTGTTATCCTTCTGGAAAAAAACAACTTCAGGTTAGAACTGACATACTTCCTACATTTCTATTGTACTTCAATTGTACTTAAATACTGTTCAGAGCACATGAAACAGATAAATTTACCCTGTATTCAAAATCGGAGAAATCCCGGCCTCCTCTGCCACCCCTGAATCCGCCTCTGAAACCAGGTGGGGCACCCCGAGGTGGCCCGAAGGAACCTCTGCTCACTGGTCTCCCTCGGCCTCCGCGGGGCCCCATGTAGCCGCGGCCACGGAAACCCCCTCTTCCACGATTGTGCCTGAGGGGAATGCCAAACGTCTCGGCATTCATTCGTCTCTCCTCTGCCCAGGTTGGCCTTCGATCCCTGACACACACAAAGACTGATCAGCATCCATCTTTTTGAAACACTCAACAAAACAATGTAACTTGACGGGAGGCACCACAGGCTAAAATGACCTTCTCACAGATTTTACACATCCTGAAATGATATTTGACATTTTCGATATTAAAATATAGATTTTTAAAGTATAGGTTAATTCAAATCCATAAAATCACTGTAAAATCATTTCCCTGATGGGGCCTTTACCACTCGAGATACCTCCGCAAAGTGACATTTGAGAAAACATGCAACTTACCTTGAAAATGCTCTTTCACCCGATTTACTAAAAGAGATAAAAACAAATCTTTTAGTGTCTTGATTACAACTCACATGTTTAAATTCATGGACTAAAGCGTAGTACCATGGTTTAGATGATGTAAAATGTACAGAGATATCATTCAGACTGACAGTTACACTGTAAAAATGGAGACCAGAGATTTTTCAAAGAGGACACCACGAAGGCTCCGGCAATAACAACCAGAGCAGTCGAGGAGACGTTGGTTGTGAGTCAGCTTTTGTGGCAACACAGTCCTACATCATCTGGAAAAATTGTGTTGGCCAATCCCACATGAAAATACACAACCATGTGGAATAAACTAGTGGCAAATAATGTACAAATGATAAAACCCGGCCTTACGTCTGACTAGGCTTCAAATTGGATTCAGGTTTTTATTTCATCTTCATAAACACTTTTGTTATGCAGTGGAACTATCAGCCTGTATCAGAGGCGATTCGTAAAACAACAACATAATGAGGTACCTTGGATCATCATTGGACAGGTTATCGAAGAAGGACTTGGACTTGTCATAGTAACATGAGTTGATCACAGCCTCCTCCTCCTCAGTGGTCCCCTCGTTGACTGGGTGTTCTGTGTCAGCAGTTTCCTCTCCATTCAGGGCCTTTTCAGTCTTGTCATCTGTCATGTTGAAAGAGATATTGTTAAAAACAAAACCCCCCCTCACTTAGAAATGAAGTGATCATCAGGGATGACTGAAAGTTAATCTCAGCACCTATTGACAATCGTGTTACCATTTGTTCCTAGTATTGGCCTTTTAAAATTTGCAAGTTAGCTTTGGCATTTTGAATTTATTTTGGCTCACATATACCGTCTCAATCAGTGGTTTAGAAAAGCAGTGCCTGTTTTTGTCCTTTGGGACTCGGCTGTGTTGAGGCCCTACCTTTGAGTTTGAGCTTATTCTGAAGCTCTTTGTCGATCTCATCTTTTTGAAACTGAGCGTTGGCAGTCTCAAAGTCAAAGTCTTCTTCAAACTTCATGGTGCCATCCCTGCGCACATTCACTCTGCCTCTGCTGCGGTTTCCTCTTCCACGGCCGCGGCGGTTGGACGGAGCACCAGCTAAGAGACAACAGGGGAAACAGAAATCGAACAATGCTCGGAGAAGAAAACACTTTGTACAACCACATGTTGTATTCAATGTCGATGGCATCTGAGTTCTTTCATCTTTAAGTTGAGGTTGTTTACATTCACATATTGCACAGTTAATCACAGTGTTTAATTTGAGCGTAGTTGTGATTCTTACTCATCACAAAGATCACCAGAATTCTCTTGTGTCTCTTACAACTACAGACCCTGAGCTGTTCTTATATTGGCGTTTATCCCCAAAGCAGCACTTTGACATCACTGTTGACACACAACCAGAAAAGAAAAATACACAACTACTTCCAAAATTCATACTGTCTGACTACAATTACTGCCTTGTGGCTGTTTATCTCTGCTAAATGCTGATTATCTAGTTTACTGTGAAGACTTAACAATATGTTTTAATTAAAAGGTTTCCATCCCTGTTTCCCATTAATTACCTAGACGTTGGCAGCTTGCTATAAACCCATTTGCCATGCCATAATTCAAACATTTAAATGATTCACATAATAGCTGTTGCTTCATTGTAGAGCTGTGTGCCTCTAGAGAGTGGGTGAGAAGGACTCAAAACAGCCAAGACACAATGTGGGGGTTGTACCTAAAAGAGGAGCGACTTCTGTCACACGAGTGTGATTTGGCCATGAAACGTGAGACATGGACCAGAAAACTGCTCTTTGCAAATTGACTGCAGACTCCTCCCCACAACAGACCAGCACACCCACATTTATAAACACCACTAACCTCACTAATCATCTACACAAGACTCATGTCAGAACGAGTGAGTTTATGAATGAGAGACAAACAACAAACTGTTGTGGTGATGACACACGTGTGGCAAACTATTTATACGGCTGAGAAACAGGAGGAGTAATGATATCAAAGTGAAAATGACTTACCAGCATGACGCCTGTTGGGATCCCTGTTTTCAAGAGCACCATGTTCACTATCAGGCTGTGTCACTTTCAGAGCCTCGGGACCTGAACAGAGAAAGAATCGGTTTAACTCGGTAAATTGCTAACGATCTGTTACAGACAAACCAGGCAACACAAACATGAGCCTCAGATACGCTGCAGCTTCAGGGGTACACAGGCTTCTCTTTGGTGAATTTGTACAGATTGGAACATATGTGATATTTTACCACAACAAGCTTGTGGTGTATCTTTACCTCTTCGCTGCTCCAGGAGGTCCGGGGGTTTTTGGCTGCCAGTGGCGCTGCTGGTGGGTCTAGTGGGAGGGGCAAACCCCATCTGACTCCTCTGTCCTACAGGTGCAGGTGGGGCTGGGGCAGTTGAGGGTGGGGCCTGCACTGCTTGCTTCAGGTTGGGAACTTTTGTTAAAGTATCCAGCTGGGGACTAGTGCGTCCTGCAGAAACACCAAAATGAGATTTATAGTTTAGATTTTCTTAATAGCAAAGGTAGTTTTTCTTAAGAAGCAGACATAGACAATGTGCATTTAGTGACAGAGCTGACAGATTGGAAAGGTTCTACTATACTGCCGTGTGTTAAAACTGATATCCAATAGACACAATATCAGTTCTGTGTTTTTGTAAAGCAACGACAGAAATGCAATCTATCTTTTTTAACTTTAATGAGAAAATCTCTGGTGTTGTTATAAATCTCTCCTCCTTTGAGCAATTTCATATTCCCAAGCTCCAGCAGTTAAATACAAACGCATAGTATAACTGTCTCCACTATTCCCAGTTCGAAACACAATGGGGTTCAGGTGTACAGAAGGAAATATGCAGCTGTGTTCTATTGAAATCAGCGAGGATCAGGTGCCGCTCCAGATCTGCTTGCGAAACTCTAACAAAGCTTGTTTGAAAGATGGCGTTTCTGAGGTAAATCGATCGATTAAGACAATAAGAACTACTTCTTACCTCCTGCAGCAGCAGATTCAAATTGCTGAGCTGCGAGGGGTGTCACGCCAAACTGGCTGTAAGGTGGGACAGGGGGCCTGCTGAATGGAGCATAGGAGCCAGCAGACTGGAATGGTGAAGTTGGGGGTGCTGCAGTAGAAGCATTGGTGGATCCAACTGATGACTAGAAAAACAAACACACAGTCCAGTGAAAAAACAAGACAATGACAAGTCGGACAACACAGGGCTCTTTTCTGATCTCTCCAGTTACACGGGTGGGTTTTTAGCTTTTCATTTCAGATCACAGACACCAGCATCGTGAATACATGGATTATAGTTCTGAAACAAAGCTGGTATGACAACTTGTTGTGACTGTCACTACCACAGATCCAAATGTTGTGCAGGGCTTCTACAAACAACATCCACTGCCATTCACAAGTTTCATGAAAGAATGACCAACATGTAGGAGAGCTTATGAATATTGAAAACAGTAAAAAAAACATGCAAACAACATGAGACATTTAATTTTAACTAACTGAAAAATGATGCTGGAGTAGTTGTGATTAAGATCATTGTGGTAGGCCATTGAACACGTCATCACTTGCTCGTAGAGAACAGTTCGTTTGTTGCTGAGACCAGTTTCAATGCAATTTATTTACACAGATACTAGACTCAGATGTGGAGCAATGGTATTTGTTTGTGTTATAATTTTCTTGAAAGAAATTCAAGAGCAAATGTGTGACTGCCTATGTGCCTAACCTGTTGTTTATTTTACTTAAAATGGCAGTGTTGTTGCAGCAAATATTCCTACTTTCACAACCAAAAAAAGCCCAGCAGTGATTACAAACATTCATAGTTGATTCAACTTAAGCAAGACAGTTAGCTTACGGGACATGATATGAAATCTATTTGAGCTGAGCAGGGCATGTGTGTCTTTGGGTGTTCCAATATGACAGTATTTAGACAAAATTCAATTCAATTCACTTATGTGTAAGTGTAGGTAAAGCACAGGTGATACTTATAACATGTAACCAGTGTCTGGTGCCCGAGAGCTGACATCGGAGCAGCCAAACTGATTCAGCCATTAATAATTTAACCAAAACACCATGTCTGATAAACTGGCACATGTACAGATAGTTCACAGTACAGAGACACAGGCAAATGAACCTACCTGAACTATGGCAGGGTCCTGAGGCAGGGTGCTAGTGGATTTGGGTGGCTCACACACAGTTAGGTCTTTTATATCACTTCCTCGGAAGATGATGTACTCAAACACTTCCTCTCGAGGTGGAATAGGCCTGTCAGTGGGCCGATCTTCAGTGCCGAAGGAGCGAACTGTTGGGAAAATACAAGGGACACTTTGAATGACTCGACACCATTAGCCTTGTTATTGAAGCTGCTTTACAAATGATATAGTAACAAAGTCTGATGTTGTATAAAAGCAGACAGAGCAGTGAATAAGCCAGAGACAGCCTGTGGGGTTGATCTGTAACACTTTTCCTGTCCTAATGTTTAAAATGCATCCTAAACAACCTTGTAATTGTTTCATGCTAACGATTTGGATCCGATATAAACAGACAGACAATCATGGGGAGAATCAAAATCTTCGTGACCAGAGTTCACAAAACACACGTTCACCATAAAAACGAATAAATCTGAATTAAACCTTACTTATAACCAGTAGTTAGAACACCGCTTCTTAGATATAGGTGCATAATAGAAAACAGGCTTTACTATCTATTATATTCCATTCAGTACTAAGCAGAGAGCCCGAGCACGTAAACAAAGGACTAACTACAGCAACACTTAGCCGTTAGTTGGCTAAAATGCTAGCAGGCGTTAGCTAACTACGCTCATATTGGTTTTAGAGTTGAGGCGCTTTAGCATTTGTCCAAGTTGTGTTATAACCATGTCTGGTGAATGCAGATCCTTCGCTGGTCATCAAACTTACCTTTAGCGAGAGCTACGGTCGAGTTCTCGGTATCAATGGTGTACAAAATTCCTTCATAGCGAATCTTGGCCTTGGAGATTAGGCTAATTTTGCTGCCGATGTACGGCGTCCCTCCTCCGCTCATCTTTCCCTCGGTTTACCAAACTCACTTCCGCGCAATCTGTCTCCTGTCAAATGAGGCTGTCGGACGAGTTATATTCCAGAGCTTCAGTTTCCAGGCTTCTTTAAAAGTGGCTGAAAGTGAGACCGCGGCCCAGACTCTGGCTTCTTCCTCTGCTCTGCGCTCTAACACGACATGGCCGACTTCATCGCCGCTAAGCATGCTGGGAGAGTATTTGGAGGAGTTGGGGGTGGAGCCTGGCTGAGAGCTCACTGACGCTGCACACCCGGTGACATCTGCCACCTTCACCGATTGGATGGTACCAGCTGTCAATCACACTGTATCTCGATGGTTTAGTTGACTCGAAACGGAACCATAAGTTACAGAAGTGACAAGTGACCTGACAACTTAACAAAAAACTGCCTGATTTATGTGCATTCATAGATATTGTGACTCCGGGATTTAAAAAAAAGTTCAACTGTACATCAACAAGTGCACTGTGTACTTTGGAAACATATTTTGACAAGATTTTAAAGAGTTAGTTCACTGAAATAAATGATCTCCACCAGGGGTCACCAACCTTTTTGAAACTGAGAGCTACTTCATGGGTACTGAGTCATACGAAGGGCTACCAGTTTGATACACTCTTCTGAAATAACACATTTGCTCAGTTTACCTTTAGTTATATATTATCATTAATGATAAGTGATACTCATCTATGTGAAGACACTGATCATGTTAATGATTTCTCACAATAATGATCAACAATGACTTAACAAGGTGGGAAACATTTAATATCAATATTCAACACTTTATTTCTATTAATCTCAGCAATTGTTTACATTTTCAGATGATCACCTCTACAACATTTCATAAGAAACATGTCCCATTTTCACGAGCCACTGACCAACCCTTTTAACAAATCATAGTCAACAGTCAACTTCAATATGAGAATAAAAATTTGACAGGTAAAAAATAAATAATTAAATTTAATTAGAAACACATCAAATTTTAGACGCAGCTCACTGGTGAGTTTTGTTATTTTTAGAACAGGCCTGCGGGCTACTCATGTGGTCCTTGGGGGCTACCTGGTGCCTGCGGGCACCATGTTGGTGACCCCTGATCTACACAATGCTCTCATCTAGCTTTTGTAGTGCTGGTCCAGATCCAGGTTTGGATATCTGCACAGACAGATCAGATCTTTAGATACCAGTGTAATGTGTTGTGTTCAGATCCAGCAGGCTCATCTGGAGGACACCTGCCTGAAGCTGGAGGTGATGCATAAGGAGGTGAACCTGGAGAGGGATAAGGAGCAGATGAGGAGGGAGCTGCTGGGCCGACAGACTGAGCAGGACCCAGGAGCAGCTCTCAGGGGCCTGGAGGCTGGTACCCACAAGAGGAGGAAGATGGAGCACAGCCCTGTCCTCTCTGAAGTCAGACACAAGGTACACAGCAGCCTGGAGGACACTGGATATGATGGAGCAGAGTTTAAAATCACAGCTCAACAGTAGCTTGTTTATTGGTTCGAGCTTTGTCAGCATGTTTTTCAGGGGTTCAAGTCATTTTTATAAAGTGGATGTCAGGTGATTTACTTTGAAGCGTTTGAACATCAGCAGACTCATTTCCACCAATGTAGAATAAGCCGCTGTGACAAGTACATCTACAGATCTAACACGCATCACAGAGATGTGATATGGAGGGCAGTGTGCATTGCAGGTAGACGCAGACCCGAAACCCCTTCATCATCCCCACCTGTTTTCCCTACCCACACTCCACCCAATGAATATCTAACCTGCAAGGGTATGCAAATTAGACGTGACATCATTACACAATTTTAGCTACATTTCAGAGCCAAAAGCTACTTCTGGTTTAGATTTTATTGGGAAACACTGGTGATGAACATCAATACATTTTCATGTTCAGCATAAACATGCATGAATGATGATGAATGACTGATTCCACTGAACTGACTGAGAATGGTTCTGTAAAATAAAATATACAAAAAAAGTTAAGATTCAGTAACTAACTCAGGCTCCATCACTTTATCACAGGATTTATCACCAACAATATCCCATTCTTCAAACAGAAAAGCTAATAGATTAGATAAATTAGCATGTTCTATGCACAGACATGTAACACATTCACTGTAAAACGGCTGGTTAGCTAGCGTTAGCTCAACAGAGAATGAGTTAAACATACTCAAGCAAAACCAGCCCATCAAAATAAACATAGAAGGCCAATTCACAGAATAACATAACTGCTGTTCCACATTAAAACGTGTTCTGCAGGTTATTAATCATCACACTCTTCCAGAACACATTCTCAGCACACGCTGGAAACAGTCATGTAGCTGTTTGTTAGCATAGCAACTCATGTAAACTCCTGAACCTAAGGACCCCACTGTATAAGCTGGGTTTACTAAAAAGGTGCCTGACTAAAACAACATTTAACCCACTGACAACATTAACAGGCGTTATAACAGTAAACAGCAGTGCACTTACAACAGTCTCTATAGTAGCCTGAAACGACCCCCTGTTTACTCGTGGGCTGTATACCTGTTAATATAATTATTAATTCCCATAGATTTGTTCCTCTTCACGGGGGAGAAAACGACAGGAGACCAACTTCCGCTGCTAGGATCGTATTATGGTCTATTGCGCATGTGGTCGTGGAGGATAGAGGTCCGCCATCTTGTCTGCAGCCATGTACATGTTTATATCATAGACTGTATATAAAGATTTAAGTTTTATATGTAAAAACATTTACAACCAAAAACCCATTATGACCTCTCAAACTTAGAAATACTTTGTAACTTTATCATTTGAATTACACAACATATTGATGCAAACATCTCACTTACACTTTTTTTATTGCGTGTACATATTGTATACATGTAGATAATATTTTTTTTCTAAACATTTTTATTTTATTTAATGCACCTTTGTAGTAAAAAAAATCTAATGATTGAAAATAGATGATTGATTTTATTCTACACAGATCCTCCCCTAGATTCACTATATTTTGAAAGGATTGTAATTTCATTTAGAAACTAATAAAAACTAGAAAACACTACTATCATGAGTATATGTCAGCAGTATTTCTTAATTAGTCCCCAGATAAGATACATTATATTTTATTCACATTTTAATTTTATCTAATTAATCTTTAAATTAATTTACTTACTTGTGATTTTTGTGTTTGTGTCCGTATATTTAGATTTAATTTTCTCAGCCTTACATTGTTGTTGTTGTAAATGGTTTTGCCTGTTTAATTTGTATTTTGCCCTTTACTTTACTTGTTTGAAATGTTTGATACATGTTATAATCGTTTGTATTCTTCTATGTGTTTGTGTTGAATTTGATATATACCACACAATGTCTCTTACAAATTGGATATCATGGTATCATATTTATAAACTCTGAAACGCTGACACCCAACATGTGTTAGTTTGGGATGATAATGAAACGACATGGTTATTACACTATTTGGAGGTATTATTCAATTAGACTTGAATTATGATGGATAATACAGCGATGATGTACCCGCCCCTCCTCATCGAATGACGTCACAGTCATTCCCACAATGCCTAGTAACACGCAGGCGCACTGTAAAAAAATAAAAAATAAGAAGGCTGTCTGTGATCAGAGATGGCGGGCGCCTCCGACCCCCTGGAAGATATGCTCTTTTCAGAGGTGGACGAGAAAGCTGTGAGCGACCTGGTGGGCTCGCTGGAGTCGCAGCTCACCGGCCAAACAACCCCCGCGGCCAAGACGGACGAGAACGGAGGCGCTGGCTCCGAGACCCCCGCTAACCATCTCTTAGGAAAACCGCTACCAGCTCCAGTGGGCACCACAACACTGGAACAACAACAACAAGGACGGCGTAATAAACCCGAGATGCGCCCGGAGATCAACTCCAAAGACGGGAGCCCGGATAAAAGTGTCACAGCCGCTTCTCTGGGCTGCTCCCCGTCTGTCGGCGAGTCCTCCGCCACCAACTCATCGGCTGCCTGTGTGAGCGCAGCGGGCAGCGGCAGCAGCAGCGGCGGCGGCGGCTCGCAATCACATGGAGCATCCATCACAACACTGACGGCTCCTGGCGTGTCAACTTTGGCGTCTCCGCCCGCCAGCATCAGCACCGCCACCGCCACCAGCCGCGCCTCCAAGGGCTCCCCAGGCGCAGGTGAGCCGTCGATGGAAACCAGCCCGGGGAGAAAACGCTTCACCACGCCGCGGAGGAGCGCCGCGGCTCGGATAAAGAGTTTTAACGGCGCCGCTGTGACGACGAGGAGGAACAGCAACACGGTGGGTGGAGAGACCGTCAGCCCGGTGGATTCAAGCCCACCAAACTCCTCCACTCGGCCGCCGACAGCCGCTATCAACACTTCCACTTTCACGGTGTGTAACGCCAGCCTGCCCGAGGGTCAGTCTGCTATAGCTCTGGACCGGGGGACTCCCACCATCGCTCTGCACAGACTCCCCAGTCACATCGTGGCCAGTATCGCTCAGAACGGAAACGGGACCAGTGTCTCGGCCTTGGTCCAGCAGGGCGCCCGCATAGGAGCCGCCACCTGCTCAGCTGCACAGGAGAACCACAGCAAAACCACCACAGACACTGGGGCTTCCAAAACAGACGAGTGTCAGTCCAAAATTGTAATGTCAAGCCAGACTGTCAGTGTCAACTCTGTAATAAACTCTGTTTCCTCTGCACCTTCTGTTGTCACACCACCACCACCACCACCACCACCAACAACAACCACCACCACCACCACAGCAGCAGCAGATACAACAACCACAACAGTAACTCAGCCTCTGAGCTCTGCCAAGGCCCCTGCCTGTGTCACAGGGGTGGCAACCAGTTCTGCATGTGGCACTGGTCAGACTACATCAGTGACCACCACCACCACCACCACTGTTTGCATGGTTAGACCCACTGCCCCCTCGCCTACACCTGCTGTGGCCACCTCCGCACAGCCTCAACCCCGTCCTGGACTCACAGCACCCCAGAGGATGGTAGCCCCCCAGCTGATTGTCAGACCACCTCAGCAGCAGACGACCATTCAGCTGCCCCCCGGGTTTACCATCCCACAGGGTAAGGTTTGCAGGAGGTGTAGGCGTGCAGGAACCAGGAGCTGTTGTTGTAACATCAACTTTGTCAGACCTGCCTGTCTTCAGTGTGATGGGTTTGTGTGTTTGTGTGGATGTGCCAGGGAAACGTTCCCACTTCAAGTTATCCTGTGGGCTTATTGTACTTCCACAGGCTGGTGCCTGCACCTGAGGTGAAATATGGCCTTTTGATAAATGCATTTATTCAAAGTAGCTTTACTGTGAGTTTCACCATGGGTGGTCCCAGGGAGAATCAGACACTTCACCCAGCAGTGTTGGTTCTATGATGTATCAACTGAGCTGCACAAAGTCTAAAACTCACAGCAAGCATGCCTGACAGCCCCACAACATGACAGGAAGCCACATAATCAATGACAAAACCTACATGACGTCCCCAAACAGTGGAATTTATTTGTACATTTCTAGTAACGGATGCTGAACTGTTTGACTGCAGGAAACACACTGTAATGTGGCCATGTTTTAGCTCATTGACTTCACAGTTCACCACATGCTACCAACAAAATGCAAATGTACAAGCAGACACTTCAAGACATTTTCATCTGCAGCAGAGTTTGTTGAATGTCATCAAAGTTCCAGACATAAGAGTGATAAACAGAATCTTCTCTTTAGCCAGGTACAAAGCAATGTGTTTTTACATCAGTAGAATCACATGAACTGAAGTGGTACTGAGAGGAGTGCACACCTCCAACAAGGCTGAACAACCTCACACATGATTGTCTTGTTCTTATATTCGAAATATAGGGAATGGTTTGATAAACTAAATTATTTGTCATAAAACATAGTGAAAGTGAAAAAGGTCTGGATCTGCCCCTTAATCTACATTCGCACTAAAATGTCAAGCCCCTTGTATTCGCACTAAAATGTCAAGCCCCATCTCTCCACCAAAACGTGTGGAAATCAGATCAGTTGTTTTTGCATAATCCCATTAAAAAATAAACTAACTGACAAAGCAACAGGGTGAAAACATAACTTCCCTAGTAGAGGTAAAGATGTTCACCTGTTGTACATATAGACATGTCAGTACATACTGTGATGAGGATGACGTGTCAGTATCAACAGGTTTATGTCAAGTTATATCAAGTTTATGAAGTGTATCAAAGTTCTTCAGACATTTATGGTTGACCAAATAAAGCACAGGAACTGTATTTGGAAAACTTTGGTATCCTATATTTAGCTCCCATATTTGCGACAAAGCTTATATGCCTTAATGAAGTTCAGATAGCAGGAAATACATTTTCATTAATCTCACATCAGGAATGACTGTTCAGTCAGGGCTATGAGTCTTTCTACGGATCTAACTCGTCTTTTTCACTCTGTGTAAAGATAAAGAAATGTGTAATAAAACTTTTTTTAGGATCCTATAAGAGCTAATTATAAACAGGGTGCTGTTTTAACTTCAGTTTCAGCCTTTTAGAAAGAGCTACGACCCTGTGTATCGTGTGTCATTATGTTATTATCACAGCTTCAATCAAATGTCTGAACCTCAGACTGTTATTTCTGCAGTAGTCAGACTTGCAATAAGGTCCTCTTCTTTTCTTGGGGTGTTAATATTATGTAATCAAATTGTAAGCAGTGTTTGAATGCAATTGAATAAGCCCTTATATATGTTTTATATTTATGTATAAACTAGTAAGCTATGATTCAAGTCAGGTTTGCCTGATTCAAAGCAGAATATCACACATGAAGTATGTTATACACCACAATGACTGAGAGTGTGATCTCACACTTTATACCATGGCCTCCCACAACCTAATTGTTGTTTTGTAGTCAGTTTGACTCATGGTTCTATGTGTTTCACTCATGGTAAGAATGTGTTTTTTCTGTGGTTAACTGCAGTTTATTATTTCCTGATGTACTCATTTAAAACTGGCTACATTTGTGTCTAGGAATGATTGTTTCTTGTTATACAGTTTTAACAGAGTTTTTTCCAACCAGTCAGATGTAAGCAGGCCAGGCCTAACATCAGTCACCATTCAATTCCAATGCACAGAATATAACCTGATGAAGAGTTTCTAATTGGTGTTTTCCATTTGAACTTATCAGCTTGAAATTGACAATGCTTTATCTGTGCAAGATACCCAGGATTCAGCCATATCCAAAACAGCTAATGGATGTTATGTTCCCTGTTGTTTAGGAATGGTGTTGGTGCGCACAGAGCTGGGCCAGCTGGTCATGGTTCCTCAGCAGGCTTTGGCTCAAGCTCAGGCTCAAGCTCAGGCCCAGGCCCAGAACAACATCTCTCCTCGACCTGCGACCCCCACCACGGGAACATCCTTCAGAGTCACGACTCCACAGGTGAGACTCCCATGGTAGCCTTGACCTGCAGACTTACATTAGCATGACTGTTGCACACAGTAATCCTGCTCATATAATGTTTCTGTACAGCGAGGATTTGTGGTATTTAAATACATACAGAATCTGGTTGTGTTTTTCATTTTATTCCCTGGGTTTTGCATGCATTATAATTAACTGAATAACTGGTTGTGTTAGATCTTTGTTTCCAAGCACAATAGAAGATGGATCATCTGATTTGTCTGTGTTTGTGCAAATCACACAAAGGGCTTTACTTCTGACACATTCCTTTGCAGAGATTTAACAAGAATCAGAATTGGCTTTATTGGCCAAGAATGTGTACATACAAGGAATTTGACTCTGGTTTTGCCCTCAATGTACTTACATAGAAGTAGACATACAGCCGAAGGGATGAGGACAACGAATAACTGAGCAAATAATTGAAATAATGGTATAAAAATACTTAAATCATGGTGGTAGATGGTCTGGACTCTACTGGACAATAGCATGTGAAAAGAAATAAGGAGAATAAGCAGTATATTGGAAATATCTCAAACGTATACACCATGAGAGTATATGTACAAACCATCTGGTTCTGTATGTTGTAAACATTACAAGTTTCCAAAGAAGTAATACGGTAGTGATTTTCATGTTGGATGCTACTGTCTTCTTTTATGTGAAGATGTTACCATATTTTATCTCTTAATTGTGATTCAAAACATCAAAAATATGATTTGATATCAATTTCATATCAACATTTGATAATGTCACACATTCCATGTGCAGCATAAACTTCGGGGACAGGAGCCTGTTTTTCAGAGCACACAGAAGTTTTATGTAGCCACTGAAATTTAATGAAAGACACAGGTCAGTGCAGATCCTGTGGACTGGCTCAAGGGATGTGTGACAGATTTATTAAACCACTAATATTTATGCCACCTTTCTTTGTTTAGCCACTAGAAAACCTTGAAATGAAATGGTTGTCTTTTAAGAGGAATATCTCACAGTCTTAGTTTGCCTCCTCTCTAGTTATATGCTCTGAGTCAGATACATTTTGTATCTATGATTTAGTTACTCGTACAGCAGCTATAGCTCTATCTCCTGACAATAAGCCCTTAGGCTCTCATGTGGAGTCCTCAAAGACACTGGCTTTAAATCGGAGTTGGACACTGTGTTGTGGTAGCTCAGTGTGTATTAATAACATGTTACTGTGATGAGAACCTGTAACTTACAGACATCTGTAAATGTGGAAGGCGTATTTGATGCTGAATAGTTTAGTTTGATGATAACTTTTGTCTGGAAGCACCAAGTAAAAGAGTAATTACCACGTCCGGATGATACAGATTATACAGATCCAATTGTGAATGTCGGACAGGGAAGCAGACATACATCTGTGTATCTTCAGCATGACAGTAAAGAGGGACTTTATGCTGCTAAATAAAGTGGTCCGGAGGGAGCATGTATAAGAAACAGCATCACTCGGAAAGCAAGACTGTTGTGAGACAGGACGTCATATTCAAAGTGTGTGATTGGGGTGGAGTCAGTTTGCAGAGCAAAGATCTCACAGATAAGACTGAACAGCTCCTGGTGCTGAAATGAGGTATGATCCCATGCCAGATGAATAACAGGGGACAAAGTACATCTCTTAAATTTAACTCGGGCTGGAGGATGTGGCTAATAAAGTATTTCAAGATAAAAATACATATTTCATATCTGTCAGTATCAAAAATTACCAGAATAAATGTCACATTAATATTTATTTTAAGTTTAGAGACAGATTTTTGTTCCTGATTGAAACTTTTGCTTTCAAACTCTTCTTTGTCATGATGAAAATAATGGTAACATTTGATATTATTATTGCCCAGCCCTAATTTATCAATACTACATTCTTAATGTACAGGTCTGTCAGATTTAATTAATCACTATTAATAAATAACAATAGGTGTGTTTCGGTATATAAGAGTGAGATTACATTATTTTATAGCAGCAAAGTTTTGTTGCAAAGAAAACATCGCTCTGGTTTTGCAAGATAAGATGCACCTATCTTTTGGAACAATTTCACAGCTTTAAAATTGCAATGTGGCGATTTTTTTGCAAAGTCAAATGAAAAACAAAATAATTGAATATACAAAATCTTTTGTGTCCACTGCACCTGTACAACAGTGCTGTTCTCTATAGTCTACTGTTCTACACCAGTGACATGCACATCAGCTACTCTGTCCGTCGTGACCCTTTGGTAAGAGGCTGCTCTTAGACAGAACATCCCCCACTGAGGAATCACCTCTCTGTGTGAGCTCAGTGCAGAAGGTGGGTTTTTACAACAAAATACACTGTTAAAATACAACAAAAATGTATTTAAAAGTTCTTAGACAAACATATTACTCACTTACTTTTTTAATTCACAAGTAGTTTCAGGCATCTCGTTATTTTAAAGCAATGACAAAGAAGTTTCCAGTTCATGTCATAATAGATCGTGCAGTCGAGAGGGCATGAGCCTCGGACCTCTTTGTTTGTGGAAACCATGACTGTGAGTGAATCTATGACACGGGACACTTATGTTTTTTAATTGTGCTTCAAAAAACTAACCAGACTGATGAAACTGGAGTAATCTGATTCTATAAACTGTTGATTTGTACAGTTGATGTTGGGCGGGCAGGACCTCATTAAACAAATAGCTTAGTTTAAGAGCCTAATTGGGATGTGATTGATATGTTTAACTGTGTAATTATAACAAATGAATAGTCTTGATTATTTTATGTGTAGATTAAACCGAGATTAATAGGTGAATTAGTGTCTCAGGGCTTTTTAATGACTCCATGGGGCACGCTCATCAAAATTTAACGAGCTACTGAAACATTAATTGGAATTTACTTATTATCACCTGTGGATACATCCGTCATGTAAAAATGTGAGCGGGTGGTCCGTGGTCCCACACCTTACTTGATTCAGATAATGAGACTACCAGACAGGTGCCCCCCGTAGTTTCTCTGTAAATCAAGTTTGACAACCGAAATGGTTTTGACATTAATGTGCAAGAGGAGCGCTAACAAACCAAACCTTCCACGACTATAGTGTTTCCAGCAGGGTTCAAAAGTTCACCATAGTTTTATCATAGAAGGACCTTTACAGTAATACAAGTCATAATCTTAGGTGCATGTGATGATTACATTATGAAGTATAGTAAGTGTGAGCTTGAGTGTAAAAGTGTCAGTTTAAACATTGTTTGTGCAGGAGATGGATGACAAATGGAGATGGATGACAAAACTATATATATATTTATATWTATGATATTTATTTATATATTATATATTGCTTTTAATCCTGTTAGAGATATTGAGAATCAGGATTCAGGATTCAGTGATATTGTCTGTTCCCAACATTGGGATAGAGGTAGAGATGCAGCTAATGATTAATTTTACTCCTGATTTTATTTACACATAAATGTCTAAAGAGAAAGAAATAGTGCCCATTGCAATTTCCCAAAGACCAAACCAAATCATATTTACCTCACAATCACAGAAGACATAGAAACCCAGAAAATATTCTGGTTTCTCTATGAATCTTGAAAAAGTAAAGCATTAAAGAGATGGAAAATTATGAATCAATTAAACAATTAAAAATGTAAGTTACAGAAAAAGCATCCAACTCACCCTTCAACCCCAATTCCCAGTGTTTTGAAAGTCAAATTTGGTGAGTTTCAAAAGGCCAACAGTGACCTAGGAGAAAGTTAGTTATTGTCCCATCATCATTTACAGTAATCAGTCAAAGTATCATGTTCGTGTGTGGAAAGTACACATATTTTAGTTGAAGTGATTCAATACCTTCATGAATTGGAAAGGAGGACACACAGTTTAATGAGTGATATTCTTCCAGCTGCTTGTAAACAACACTTAGTCATGTGTTCAGATTATGGGAGATAAACAAACAGTACTAGCTTGAGACAGAGGTGTTATTCATTCTCTCAAAGGCTAACTTCTGTCAGCACAAATGTTTGATCTGGAGTATGGAATAAGGAAGTGAAGAAGCGCGCCACTGACTGCAATGACAAACAACTGACACTAGAGGGCAGCATTTCACTATCTTTTTCAATTTGACTTTAGCGCTGTATTTTATGAACTGTCATATCTAATGGGAACTGTATCTGTGAATACAAAGAGCAGAAGAGTTCAATTAAGATGAATTAAAATAATCTAGCTCCAATGATACATGTCCAAGAATCACAGCCTACGTCATGGTATAGTATATGACTGTGTACTGGCTTAGTGTGTGTTGTTATGTGTTGTTTATACCCTACAGTAGTAGTAGTAGTAGTAGTAGTAGTAGTGTTAGTAATAGTAGTTAACAGAAATACACTCTGCTATGTAATACTGCTTTTCAGATCTGAGATCAAGCTTTTGTTCTTAAGTTTTTTTTTTACTTTGAGTTACTTTTATTCTTCCATAGTAATAACAACTCTGATTCTCAGACAGTCCATTGTCTCTCAGACTCCACTGTAGCCCACCAGCTTCCCAGATCCTAGTCCCCACCAGTTACACAACAACGGCCCCTCCCGCCGCAGCGCTCAAAGCCAGCCAACCTGTTTCCATCCTGATATGAACCCCCTCTCAAAAGAGACTCGCAGATTGTCATCGCCTTCTCACAAGTCACGTTGATGACAAATTAGCGGGCTGCGGCGTTGCCGTCTCGACAGGAAAAGCAGTAGCAGGGAAATGAAAGGGAATGGTGTTTATTCCCAGAGCTCAACCCCTCTGTCGGCCTGTCACTCTTCCCATGACCCTGAGGGGAGAAACGGAAGGCATCCTGAGCTTCCTTCCTTCCATACCTGTTAAATCATTCATCATCCAACTGCCTGATTATTTTAAAAAGCTAACAAGGCTTTGGTTCGTCAGTGTGTTTTTGTGTGTCTGTCTGTGTGTGTGTGTGTGTGTGTGTGAGAGGGTGAGAGAGGCATCGCTGGCGGTGGGATGCACCCCGTGGCTCTAACCCCCCCATTACCCCCTCCACCCTCATCCCTTATACACCCACTTCCCCCCAACTCCTTAGTGCAGAGTAACATTCTTTTGGATTCTACAAAACTTTTGGAGGAGGGGGAGCTCCCTCCTCTGGTTTCTTATCTTATTTTCTGTCTCATCGCCTTCATGCTCCTGTCCTTGGTAGGGTTGTGTGTCTGTCTGTTTTCAATTTGTGCAATTTCTCATATGCGTGAATGTGTGTGTGTGTGTGTGTGTGTGTGAGAGTTTTTGGCTTACCTGTGAATAGAAGGCTCAATGCCAGAGGTCGGGGTAGAGGCCCTCATGGTTTGTCTTGGCCAACAGACAAGATATCAGTCAGGAAGTACGTATCTGTGATTGTGTGTGGGGCGTGTGTTTGTCTGTGTGTGTCTGCAAGATGAGACCCTGGGTAACAGTGTGGCTTTGTAGCAGTTGGCACTCATAGTCTTGCCCCCCCCATTAGCTCTCTTACCTTTTACTGTACATGCTGACATCTTAGAGAAAGACATATACTGTTTACTAGGTTTGTGCACATATTACACCTAATATCTGAGAACTAACAGTATTTCCACACTTCACCACCATGCTCTGAACACATGTGACCTGACCTGACACAATAATTATATATTCATGTTCAATAAAATGCAAAAATAGGGACTTTATCAGCTAAGTTCTAACAGTTTAACTTAGTCTACAATAAATACTGTTCGATGGAACTCATTTTACTATCATCTCTTTGCTGTTACAGGCTTCTCCTCTTAGACAGCGCCAGGAATTGATATGTGTATAAATACATACAATGCATATGCCTGGATAGAAGTGAGTCTTTTCAGACTATTTATTAAGATTATTCAGTTTTATTATGATGTCTGCAGTTTCAATAAATATGCACACTGGAAAATAGGGTACTCAGAAACATAAAGTTTATTTACCCTGTACAAACTAATCATGCTTTGTCTCTACAGTGTTTTATAGAAAAAGCTTGTATATGCAGAGACCTTGAAAAACATGATTAGAGGCAGTAAAATTAAAGTCACAACCCTACAGTGGTGAATGTTTTGCCCTCAGGAGTCAGTGGAGGAACGATCAGTCCTTTTATAGTTGATCAGTTGACACATTAGAGAATATATATAAGATCGTTCTCACAGGCTAAATCATGCAACAAGCCTGATTTTAAAGTGGCATTTTATCAGTCAAGTGATTTCCAGAGTTGGCTGCACTTTTTAGTCAAAGTGGCCTTTTAACCAAATTTCTCATGCAGTAAAACTTACCAGTTGGATTTGGCCAGAAGTCAAATAGTGATTTTCCCTCTTTTGTTTTCCAGCTAATCACATGTTTCACTTTTCAGCAGCAGGAAAACAAGTGACATGGTTTCACCCTCAGTAAAGTCATGATTGTGAACTCTCTCTGCCTCCCATCAGAGTCCAGCACAATGCCAGCGTGACCCAGTGCTACTTATTTCTCTGTGTCAGTCTTCAACATCACCAACATGCTGCCACATCCTGTCTTGTTTCCTGCTGCCATGACCTTTCCTCATCTCTCTGCAAGGCACGCTACTCCTCCTTTCTTTCTCTGTGGCTCTCTCACTCCCACTGTCCTATATAGTCTTTTCTCTGCTCACCGTCCAGTTCTCTCTCTCCCTCACCTCTGAAACAGACATGGTCTCACCTTTGCTGTTTTTCATTCTTTCTATCCATGGACATGTTTTGCTATCCTTTATTTCCCCTGTTCCCCTTTTGCTTACCCACTTTCTTCGATGGCTTTTTACTTTCTTTTTTACTGTCTTCTTCCTCTCTCTCTCTGTTGCTCTCTCTCTTTCCTGCAGTCTCCTGTGACCTCTCAGACCACCAGGCAGTGTCCTTTGACCGTGGCCAAGATGGCACCATCTCCCTCACCCACTCCTTCCAGCCCTGCCTTACAGACCTCCTCCTCTTCCTCTTCTTCCTCCTCTTGTCCTGCGCTCCGCCCAGTGAGAACATTTTCCTTTACTCACCAATTTTTCTGTTTTTGGTCTCAGACAAACTGGGTGCCACTAAAATGCCACCCTCTGTCTTTTTGCTGTGTCAGCAGATTAAATAGGACCTCAATGTGAATACGAAGCTTTTCTGATTTAAAGCTCTAGAATGTCACATCTCACCACCTGCAGAGGAAATCATGAATATATTTACCGTTTGTCTTCAATTACCTTTTTAGATATATTATCTGATTTTAAAGATAAAAATAATGAACATTAATAAGATATAATACATAACAATTCTTCATTAAAATGTCTAAAAACAATTTGTGTTATACATTTTGTTGACTTGTTTTTAACAATGTTCAAACCCAAACTTTATTCAAGATAACAGGACCTTCCATTTTCATTGACTTTTTATTATGTCTTATACACTGCTAGCTAGTGAGCCACTTATCCAGTTGGCTGTTTGTCCTTTCACTGTCTGTATCAGTTGTGTTGGACCACGATTTGCCATTTGCTTCACATTCTGTCACCAAAGCTCTCCCAGTAACGCGCAAATGCAAAGGAACCAAGCGACCCAAGAAGATTATGGGACAAGGAATGATGGTGGAGACAACTCACACAGTCATCAAATTAAGTCTTTTGTTATTATTTCCATTGAGAGATCCTGCACGGCTGAAGTTAACATATAACTAAAGACATTGATGTTTGTAGAGAAAAAAGGGCATAATAATAATCCTGATCCCTGCCTGTTGAAAACCAGTAGAGCTGCTGACGATACATCACAAACACAAAGTTTGACTCTTGCTTATGGGTGGGGAAGCAGTGATCCTTGCTATACAGAAAGCATCTGCTATATTATGTACATTTGAAGAGGAAGAGGTTTACCGTGGGGGTTTGGTGCCTTCTCCAGGCTTCAGTCTTGAAGAGCTTCACACACACTAGCCATGCAGCCGTTCAGTGCAGATAGATATATATCTATATTTTGCATAACACAACACAACACTGTGGACGTACATGCTGCCTCACGCCCTCCATCCATATGTGGCTTGACGTATCCCCTGTGCGTTCACACCTGTATTTAGAACTGTCCACTTCAGGATCAGTCACGTAAGATGTATTTTATTTAAGTGTGAACAGGCCCTGGGAGATTTGGTAAGAGGTCATGAGGGCTTCAGAGTGAGAGACTGCTGTTGGCACCTCTTCTCTAGAGCAAAATTTATATTTTGGATGTGAGATATTTTCTTGTCATTCATTCCCTAAAATATGATCATGATCAAAATAGACAATAGGTAGCTACTGTTTTGAATTACTGGTAGTTGGGTGAAAGTTTCTCTCGTCAGGTAATGTGATTATTTAGTAAAAGCTTTGATGGCCTCCTGCATTTCTCAGCCTCCAGCTTGTCACCACCTCCCCTTCCTCCTTCTTGTCTGTTAAGCGATGTCCGCCGAAGTCAGGACACCAGATGTGACAGGAGCGCTGTGGCGCCTGCCTCCTGTTCTCTGTGGCCTTGCTGCGAGCGAGGCGTCACGTCCTGTTTATCTCCCTGTCTCTTCCTTGCTCTTTCAGAAGGGCCCCGTGGCACCGGCCATTGCTGTGACGGCTCCGCAGCAGACCCCCGTGGTTATGGCCCCCCAGGCCCCGGCCCAGGCTGCCTCTCAGCCAGTGCAGCCTCCACAGACGGGCATCGCAGCAGCCCCCGGAGCTTCTGTCGTGTCCCAGGTCCGTTCTCTCTCCCCCGACTGCCCACGCTTCATCCTCAAGGGCACGGACACTGTCACAGCTGCCAGCAGGCTGTTTGTGTCATAAGCCCAGCCCTGAACCCACCGCCTCACACAGCTGGATATGGACAAAGAGTCTCACACATGCCCACACATGTTTGTATTCGTACATTCACGTGCTTAGCAACCGAAGGACGTACAGTCGCCAGCATAAAAGCACAAATTCTGGGATGTAGAGAAACAGCCATAGTTACAGCTATAGATACAGGTATGATGCACACAGAGATACAGACAACACACATGTTGACACCAAAATCTCCAACTACGAATGCAAGTCTAATACAAGCCGCTCTCATTCCTACATCAGCGCAACATACAATTCTTTGTTTACATATTAAGTACTGTAGCATCTTTGATGCTATACTCTCTGACACTTTTTTGGTGATAGAAGGTAAATCATTTTTTAAATTCTGTTTTCTGACAGGAAATGCAAGAGAACGTAAAGAAGTGTAAGAATTTCCTGGCCACACTAATCAAACTGGCGTCGCACAACTCTCCGTCCCCTGAGACTTCCAAGAACGTCAAGTCTCTGGTTCAGGACCTGCTGGTGAGCTTCACAAACCAACACACCAACCAACCAACCCTGTTCAGATACAGTTGACACAATGGAATTGTGTTATTGTGTTTGCGAATTTTGTGAAACAGTGTCATAGTCTTGACATGTTTTTATAAGACAACATTTCTGGATCATCTGAATGATGTGTTTCTTCTTATTCTTAGCTTTTTTGCACTTTGAAATATTCCCACAAGTAAGTCTAATTTGTCCCTCTAATGGTGTATTGCACTAAATTTTTTAAACCTCTAGATGGCAGCATGCAACTCTCGCCAAAACTCCCTTTTTCTGTCATGACTTTTCATCACACAGAGTTATTATTGATGACTGGTGCCAGGATGAAAGTTGACTTGCTGATCATCGCCTCCGGTGACGGGATTTCATCTTCCTGTGTTTAGCTCACCATGGTTTACTTCACTTAACTTTCTGGCGTCTTTGGTAAAGTGGTGTTTACGTTTTACCCTTCTTCGCCTGACAGGACGCTAAGATTGAACCAGAAGAATTCACCAGCCGGCTGCAGACGGAGCTCAAGTCGTCTCCGCAGCCGTACCTGGTGCCATTTCTCAAGGTGAGGTTCCTGTTCGAAATCTTTTCAAACCTCTCTCTGTATCAAGTGTGAGACTGCTTCCTAAGCTGACCGAATGTTACAGCTAATTTTCTCCCAAAGCCCCCTGCCTAACAATAAAACCTTCATCTGCCTCATATCCTCTGAGTCAAGGCCCCATTGTCGGATTACTGTACCCCTGAGCTTGGGCTGGACAATATGATTTCAAATCATTATCACAATCATTTCAAAATTATACCTCAATTATGATTATCTACCTACGATTGATTTATGTCTTTTTCCCTTTACTCAGTGCTGATCAACAAGACACTCTGCTCCTCTGCTCTTTTCTAATCACCCAGACATAGAACTGATCTTTAATATAGAAACCTTCTGAATTCTTCTTTATGCAACAATGAAGTTAAAACACTGTTACTGTCACTCTTCACACATTTATTTAGTTATTATTCAGTGAAGTCGGATCATGAATCTGGATCGTTCCGGTCACTTAAAACCTGATGTGTGTCACATCTCATCTAGTGTTGTGTGTAGTGAGTAAACAGAGCGCTCATAAAATGTTGGACTTGTTTTCAAGGTGTTTAAAGGTTCAGTGTGTAAGATTTAGGTGAAAGGGATCTATGGGCAAAAATTTAATGTAGAATAATTCTCATGATGTTTTCACTAGTTCAATTCATCTAAATTGTATGAATGGTAGTTTTCTTTACCCCAGAAAAGGCTCTTTATATTTAAATACTTTATATTTACATAGAGGGGGTCCTCTCTACAGAGGCTGCGATGTTTTTTATATTAGTCCAGACTGGACAAACTAAACACCTTTTGAGTGTTTGGAAGGAGAGGGTGAGGTGAGGGGTGTTCAGCTGCAACATGCGATTTCAACACTAGATATCACAAAATTCTACACACTGTACCTTTAAATACGTGTCTCATTAACTCTAGAGCGAACAAACAAACACAAAGTAAACTTCAAGTCTTGTACATAAAGTAAACTTTACGTGTCCCAATAACTTTTGATTAGTGTTGGTGTTTAACGTGTAAACTGAGCGGTGGTCAGTGGAGGAGTGAGGAGGGAGGACATGCAGCACAGTACAAGGGAGCCGACCGCCGCTGCAACATGAACGTAGTGGAAACCGAGTAATTAAGTCAGTTAGAGGTTCTAAATGTCAGTTTTGTACACATTTTCAGTTAATTGCCGAGCCCTACCCTGAGCTACTTTCCACATTGACCCCTGAAATTGTTTCCTGAACTGCTCCTGAAAGTTCCCCCTGAAATCATCATAGCCTATCCTGGCTGCTTAAGCTCCTCTCAAGTATTTTACTGATGCCCTAAAGTCATCCTATCCCTGGAACCAGAGCCAGTGATGGCAAGGCCTGACAGCAGAATGATACACACACACACACACACACACACACACACTCACACACACACACACACACACACACACACACACACACCCCTCCGGTGTGACTTCTGACTTCTGTGTGTGACAGTGCCCCCCCCAGCAGTCTCTGTCACTAGCCAGCAGGTTTCCTCAGCAAACCATGATGAGTGTCACATCAAGGCGCCCGACCGCCAAACTCGACCACAAACACGTTGTCATGCAATGTTAGGTCGCTCAAGAAATCTGCCTGAAATATTCTATATGGAGCTACAGCATCTCATCAGGTCAGCTGTGATACTGGGACATTTATGTTATTACACATCGTTATCCTGAGATCAAATGAAACAAGTTTTTTTTTTACTCTTAAAATTGGATGAATCACATTTCACATGGTCACATGTGTCAGCAGGTGTTTCTTCAGCCTTATGCTTTTGCGATAACATTATTCTAACGTAGCCTGTGACCACAGCCCTATTTGTTTTTGCAGCTGTGTGTTTGGTATTTTCTCATGCATATCTGGCTCTGTGACTATAAACTCTGGCCTCTATCTGCCTGTCAACAGAAGAGCCTCCCGGCCTTGAGGCTGTCTCTGCTGAATAGTCAGCAGTCCATGACCCAGCCCTTGCAGCAGGGAGTCAAACCAGCACCCTGTGGCGTCCCTCCTGCCATTGTGAGTGGGCCAGCTGTCCGCATACGCCACCCCAACAGCGTCAGCACCACCACGGGTGCCAGCGCGCTGCCCGCCGGGACGCTCGGACATGCAGCTGCCATGGTATGTATGGAGCTGACCAGCTGGGGGTGCAGACACGGTTACCACAGTAATTATATTTACAGTTTGTATTAAAACTTACTTTAAATATTTTTCAATTCCAAGACCAGTGCTGTTTTTAAAAACGTAAACATGCAGATGTAATTCAGCCTCGTGTGTTACACAAGGCTGAATTATCAGGCTGGAGAGTGTCACTGTGCCATGGCTGGGAGTCACACAGCCAACAGTGAGTTAGAGTCACACTCTAAGTTTACCCCCCAAAAGGAAAAAAAGCTAGAAAACATGTGCAGTCATCTAAATGAGATTATTAAGATTTCAACCTGGACAGACCTCCATGCAGACACAGGAAGAGTACGCAGATTCCACACAGACTCATGATCTGTTGCCAGAAAAAAAAGACTTTAGACACAGACACAGGCAGATGCTCAGTGTCCTGTGCTACTGGCCTGTGACATCTCCACTGTTCAGAACAGATGGTGGTCAAACACTCTGACGATTTACTCCTGCTCATACTTTGACAACTGATCAGAAGAATCTGACCGAGGAACTGTACTACACTACATCACACTACACCACACTACTCTATACCACACTACTTTATACCACACTACACCACACCACACTATGGTACACCACACTACTTTATACCACACTACACTACACCACACTATGCTACACCACACTACTTTATACCACACTACACTACACCACACTATGCTACACCACACTACACTACACCACACTACGCTACACTACACTATGCTACACTACACTATGCTACACTATGCTACACTACACTACACCACACTATGCTACACTACACTATGCTACACTACACTATGCTACACTATGCTACACTACACTACACCACACTATGCTACACCACACTACACTACACTACACTACACCACACTATACCACACTACACTATACCACACTACACTACACCACACTACACTACACCACACTATGCTACACTACACTATACCACACTACACCACACCACACTACTCTATATGGCTTTAAGTATGATTGATATAAATGACCTTGTAATTACAAAGCACACACACTTAATATTAGTACCAGATTGATATGGGCTTTTGGGATCGATGTAGATACTGTATTTAGGGTAAAACATTTCTGACACCCATACACTAGTCGATATGTATAAAAAATAGATATGGTTCTTAAGTTGTTGTTATCAAACCCTTATGATAGAGAAATGTAATTGAGGCTTGATTACAAACTAACTAAGTTTATTATAAATAACTATAAAACATGTTATTTAATTTTTACAATTTTATATTTTCTAATGTTTTTATACAGAAAAAATCTAGTTGCTGTCTCGGTTGATGCTCCAATGTTTACAAGTAGAAAATTAAAATTGTTTCACTCACACTGTTTCAGGGTTTAAATTCATATCCTCTGCTTGAAAACACAGTCATTGAATTCCATGTCATCTGCCCTTCATATTCTTGACCTGCAATATTATGTACCTGTGATCACATATGGGTTGTAAACTAGCATCAGTGTGGACATACAGCTGAAGTAAATAGATGACCTGCAGGGTTCAGCACTAGACACTCAGCAGCCTCGCTCAGCTCACAGCTGGGTCACATGACCGCGTGTGTGTGTTTGCGTGCGTGTGTGTGTGCGTGCGTGCATGTGACCACACACATTGCACAGGCATGGGTCAAGTGAGGTCAGACTGTGGTCTGGTGGAGGCAGAGGGGTGGGCGAGCTAGAGGGTTATCTCTTCTTATACGTTTTCTCTCAGTTTTACACCTCCTTCCTTCTCTCCCTCTCCTTTTTTTGTATCTCTCTCAATTTTTCCTTTCTAGCCTTTTTTCTTCCCCTTGCTCTCCCTCTTTTCTCTCCTTCCCCCCATTCTGCTCTCTCTCCATCTCTTTCCAACAGTTTCTCTCACTGTATCTACCCCCGCACACGCTCTCATCTCATCTCCCTCCCTCCCTCTATCTGTTAACTGTTAAAGGGTGAAGCGAGGTAACTAGGTCAGCCCCGGGTCAATTTTAAAGCAATGTGGCGGCCGCAGTCTATGTCCAGAACATGCCTCCGGTCTCTCTCTCTCTCTCTCTCTCTCTCTCTCTCTCTCTCTCTCTAACTCCATCTCTCTCTCTTTCTGTCTCACGCACACACACATGTGATTACAACACCAACATAAGCTATCACACAAAACATTAGTAAATGATCACCCCTGGCACATCAACAGTTTGAAACCAGACATCTAGTTGAATTAGGCTAAAAAAATCTGCTCTTACCACGGTAGCAGAAGTAAAGAAAATGTTGAGTTGTATCATTGAAGTAATTACACTTTCCACTGTTGCATTGTGATTTTTAATATGTTATATTCAACTGGTGTATAAAACATCATGAATTTAAGGTTAATACAGTTTGTTTTAATCTGTTGAGGACAAACAAAGTAAAAAGTCGTAAATCGAATAAAACTGTAATTTGAAAATTTACTTTTTCATTTTGAAAATTCTATTAGGAAGAAGAGACATTAGCACATGTCTTCATTTAGTACAACGGTCACGTCAAAGACTTAATATATGTTATCATGAAACTGGACCTTAACGTCCTCAGGCTAAATGATACATGGGATGAATGGACTTGATGATAAAACAGTGAATGAATAGGGAGTAATAACTAGGCCACACCACTACACAGCATTGAATTCTTCAATGTAACAATGTGTATAAATGTAATAATGCATGACATTATTACAAGTACAGTTATTTGTATATAAAGAGGTAACAATTATATTTGTATAGCAAGAACAAACATAATTTAGTGCTTTACTCACGAAAACTAAACAAAAGAAAAACAAAACTAGAATGGAACTCAGCAGAGTACATGCCTCTACCCAACAGGAGATGAACAAAACATTTTTTTAATTGTTTAATCGTTAATTAAATAGTTATCTTTGATTATCTGAATAAAGCTAAAACATATTTTAATGACATTTAAATGAACATTTATAATACATAAACTGCATACTATTAAAGGTACAGTGTGTAGAATTTTTGATATCTAGTGTTGAAATTGCATGTTGCAGCTGAACACCCCTCACCTCACCCTCCCCTTCCAAAAGTGAAAAAGAATCAGTGGTAGCTTCAGTTGTCGTAAAAACTCAAAGGTGTTTAGTTTGTCCGATCTGATCTAATTAAAAAAAAACATGGCGGCCTCCGTAGAGAGGGTCCCCTCGATGTGAATATCTTTATTGAAATATAAAGGGACTTTTCTGGGGTGAAGAAAACTACAACTCATACAATTTAGATGAAACAAACTAGTGAAAACATCATGAGGATTATTCTTTCTTATTATTCTTCTATTATTTTCTGAAAAATAAATTAAATGTTGAAATACATCCCATCTCGTGATGTTGAAGAAAGTAAAAAAAGAACAAACCTTGATCCGTACCCTGATCTGGCTCTGCACCAAGATTCAATGGCTTCTTCTCTGACCCATACCACAACCTTCCATCAAGGTTTGTGCTTATCGGATAGCCCTGACCTCGAACAACCTCATAAGGCAAAATATAGAAGTGCAGCCGTTGATTATTAGTCACAAATATGTTACAGTGTTTACACATATTTCTGTCAAATGTTGTTTCATAAATCGTGACACATACACAATACATGCCTGTACATATATACTATGATTACTTTCAATAGACAGGGTCTCCTCTCTCACCCTGGGTTTTGTGGGAAATCTGAGTAATGACTTTACAGCAAAAGCAAATACAACTTTACCCAGAATGAACGTGCTCTTCTTAGACCAAATACTGAGTTTAATTAAAGAAGCAGTGTCCTGTTGGAGCGTTACGCACACTAACAGTCTCACCAGTGTGTAACCAATGTTTGCAATCATTCAAACATTTTTTGCTGTATTTAAGAAAACACCTTGCATTTAATTTCACTCTTATGATTAATGTTTAAAAGCAGGAAAATGTTACAAACAGTGGGTTTAGCTTTAGTGTTACCATTTACCCCCTGATTCCCAGAACATTCCCCCCCCTCTCTTAACTGTGTCGCCGGCTGGCCACAGGTGCTATCTCTGCCTGTGCTGAATGTGTTTTCCTCCCCTCTCCTTTCCATTCTCACAGGCCCCTGAAGTGGATCTCTGGGAAAAATGGCCCCTGTCTTTTTTTTCAGTAGCTTGAACAGTAATATAGCATGTGTCAGGGAATGGAAAACAAGGCTGAAAAATATGCAGCAAGAAGCAAACTGGTAGGAATGGATGGCTGAGCCCGAGGCCCGGCCTATAGCTGCTACCAAGGAAGGAAGTGACTCTAATAGCCCAGCGCGGCCCCTTCACCCCCCTCTGCTCCTTCTTCTACTTCTACTACTTCTTCTTCTTCAACTAAACTACTTTTCCACTGCCGCCATGACTTCCTATTGCCTTTGTCTTATCTGGAAATGCACACAAATGTAGGTCACAAACAGTGACAGACATCCATCCTCCTTGTGCAATGGATCTGATTCTGAGCACAGTGTGCAGAGATCGCCAGTGTAGATTTCATCATCCCTGATTCATTCTGCATCTAATTCTCCTATCTTTCCTATGTTAGAGTAGAATGAAAATATGCACACTGTTAAAACTCAAGTGGCTCTTGACCAGCTTGTCCTTGGATCTCTAAGTGGGTTCGATAGTTGGTTTTTTTCCTTGAACAATTTCTCTTGGAGATTGTGAGAAAAAAAATGGAGCAGTTGTCGAGCAGGCGTGCAATTTCATTCTTTCTCATCTCCGCTCTCATTTTCAAATTGTTTCATCCTTTGAAAAGCTACAGCCAAGTACATAATCTCTGTTTTCTGTTTATTTCTTTATTTCTTTATTTCCCCGCTTCCTCAGGGGATCAAGACAGCGGGCGCTGTCGGTGGCCAGGTGCGGATGCCTGTGGTGATCACACAGTCTGTCAGAGCACAAGGTAGGACATCTGCAGGCCCTTTCCAGCCACTTTTGATTGAATCTCCTGAAGTCACTCACACGTATACTATTTGCCATTTTTGTTTTGGGCGTTCGTTTTTTTTTTTTTTTTTATTGTGCAAAAACCTAATGCGTTCAGTCAAAGACAAAAAAGACCGAACAAAGACTTCTGCACATGTTTTTGGAAAGTTTGAGCTTCAGTCATCTGACTCACACTCTTTTATTTCTGGCCAGCCCATTTTCTCTTACATTCCTCATTGAGGCTGCGTTCTCAGACAGGTTTTTCAATGTTTTCAAACTCGGCTTGATGTTCTGGTGAAATAAAAAGCCAGTGATAAAGGTTAAACAGAAGATAACTACTAGCACAGCTCTAAATGTCCTCTCAGTCGGCCTGTAAGATGTGTAAACAGGCAGGAGCCACAAAGAGAACAGGTGTTTTTTCTCCTGTCTGGTTATAAAGCCTTCTCAAACATTTGTGCTGCTGCTTACTCACACTGATTCACAAACACTCATCCCACAGAAGCCCACAAATATCGCCCCCAACACCAACCGGGCGTAACACTCCCCTAAGAGAGCTGTGTGTTCTCAGGTGGTGTGTGTGTGTGTGTGTAATATGTTTGTACCTGTTTGTGGATGTGTGTGCACGCTTGCGTGCATGTGTGTGTGTGATCGGAGGTGCATACAAATTTGATCTTCCCCCCATCCCCAAGATTGCCTGCAGTGAAGAATCTGTAGGTTGTTTTATGCCCATAAATTGGAATGCGGGGATAGTTCTAAAAATACTTTTCTTTGCCTCTTGGCGAGGAACATGCCTGTTAAAATCAAGTTTAAATTCACTCTGGCAGTCCTTGTGCCTCTCTGGAAAACGTGTCTCGGAGCAGGATGCGGTTTAGGAGTGTAAGGAGAGCCGGTGAAGCGCAGTGATATTGACAGAGCGACGCTCTCCGCACCAACCTGGGGAGAGCGACAGTACCACTCTCCCCCCCCCCTCCCCCATCAATCTACGCCTGCGAGGAAGACAGAGATGGTCGAAGGTAGTCGTTAGACAGGAGGATATTTGACAGTGATAGAAAGGGACATTTCAATGATAACATTACTCCCTTCCTGTTTTGCTTAGTGTTTTCTTTTTTGTTTTTTATTTGTTCTTATCAGGCACAATGGGGAAGGGAGTCGTCATCCAAGCGGGGAAAAGTCCCATGGGCTTGGCCGTTCAGATCTCTGGGAATCAGAAAAACAAGCTCAACGACCCCGGAGGAGGCTCTTTCAGGTACAACTCCACTCTCCAGGAGACCCAGCGACACAGTAACTGTTGTTCCCAGCAGCCATCACATGGTGGCAGCATTTCACTAAGAAGCCTCGGCATGACTACAGGCTACACTCTCAGCTAAGGCTGTGAGTGTTTATCCCAGTTGCCTGCCCAGCCACCTGGCCGCCTGCCCGCCCGGCTGGTTGATCGGTGGTCCTCTCTCTCTGTGCCCACCACATAGCAACACACTGCCAGCCAATAGATCTCCCTCAGCATTGCCCTCCTTGTGTCAGTGTCACAACTCATGGACAGGATTAGAAATGAGCTAAATCTTAATTTAGCAATAAGTTAATTGTGTCCAGATGGCTGGAATTTCTGGATGTGGTTCTGAAAATACCTTTTAGTGAAGTCAAACATACGGTATTTAGCCCGCAGCTACGCTTTCTTTCTCTCTCTGGTCTTGTCTCTGCTTCATCTGGGCTTTTGTCTCAAAACATAAAAGGTTCATCGCCCACATGCTGGCCTTTGTGGTCCATGTTAGTATGAGTGTTTGTGCATTTATGTTTGTCTGTGTGTGTGTGCTGCATTTACATACTTGTATGTAAGTATGTATAATATAGGTTTACAGTATGTATGCGCCTCTTCTCCTTTGTGTTTGTGTCCCTGCTTGGATGCACATGAACATTCAGTATGTGTTTATGATCCTGTCTAAGATTATTTGTGTGTTTATGGAATCGAGTGTGTGTGTGTGTGTGTGTGTGAACTGTACATGCACTGACAGGAGTTGGGGTTTAGGATTGCCCCGGTATGACCGGGCTGGCGTAAGAAGAGTCTGGGTCACATGGGCCAACGGGTTCATGGTAATGGCTCCCACCTCCTGAGGGGAAAGGCAGCGCCTGGGGCTCTGATTGATAAACCGATAAATCTTTAGCTGCGTTGGTAATTAAGCTGTCAGGCTCGCTTGTTGCTGACGACCTTTTCCCCCCTGCGGTGATTACAGTGGCCCTCCACGTTCACACAAAAGCACTGGTTTCAATGTAAGTCCAATAACGCACAGCACCACTGTCACAGGAGGAGCACGCCACTGACATTTTGTTGCATTTTTTCCCCGTCTGTCCAGGTCAAGTTAACCTGCTCTGCACTCAGCAACATGTTTACCTGCATCCACATTTTTGTCATGCGGGTAGTTTGAACTTCAACCATACAGTTTTAAGTCAAATGAGAGGTTGTTGAACCTGACATTGATTTTAATGAGAGATGGACCTCTGTGAAGATTTATCTTCACTCATTGTTCAACATTACTGTTACAAAAATGGTGGCGTTTTATTCTTGGTATGTGCTGCAAACTCTTTGTTAAGGTTGCACCTCAGTTGGCTCCTGGCGTCTGAAGCCTCTTAGCTTCCCCACACTGTTTATAGTTTGCTGTTGTTCTTTCCTGAGGATATAAACATGTTGGAACAGAGTCCAGTGTTACGAGGCGATGTGTTGGGTGCCATTACAAAAAGTGTGAAAGTAAAAAAGGCCAACACATGCTTAAGTCAGGTCAGATTTATTCTTAAAAGTCTTTTTAACAAAATGTGGAGACGTACTCGCATAGCAACAAGGTTTGAGATGCAGAGGAAGAGAATATCGCAAAATGTTAAAGTGACTGTATAAATAAATCTAATCAAATCAAGTTTATTTGCAAAGCACATTTAAAAACAAAGATAAAGAATAGAATAAGAGAAGATGAAAAACAAAATCAAAGAATAGGAAAGAAAAGAAAAAGAAAATCCATTGGCTGGACTGGTCAGATTCTACCAGCTCTCTCCCACCCAGCCTGCAATGAGGGTGTACAACTGTAGTTAGGGACTGATGTGTGTGTATGTGGCTGTCACTCTGAGCCACTGGTCCCAGCGGGCCAGCTGTAGCACACACACACACACACACACACACACACACACACACACACACACACACACACACACACACACACGCACTGCAGGGCTTATGGGGTTTCCAGTACAGCTACAGCCGTCTGTGTAAGTGCTTGTGTCAGTGTGTGTGTGTGTTTGTGTGTAGTTTACAGTACAGAGTGAAAGCAGCTGTCTCTGTGCAACCCCCCCTCCTCCCCTCCTCAATTCTCTGTAAACACTCAACATCCGCTGTAATCACAGGCGAGCCAGCCGAGGCCCTCAGCCCTCTGCCAACCTCCGTGCTCAGCCTCTGCCTCTAAAATCCAGCTCTGTCTTACATGCTGGACACACATCTGTGCACGTTAACACACAAACACTTGCATATTCACGTGGAAAAGACACACACGCCGTTACGCATGCAAACTAAGAAACAAAAGTTTCTGTTCACCAAAGTGGATGTAGCAGTCCACCAGCCCTTTCCCATCATTTACCAGCAAAGGGAGTGCGTTCTCTCTTTGTGGTTACATCCTTTGTTGCTCTGTTAATTGCTATGTGATGTGCCTGTTTTGCAAAAAAGGGGGCTTTATAAATACATTTGACTCAATTAGGACTTAAAAGTGACTGTCCAAAAATTGTTGATGCAGAGACTTGGAAACACGGCAGCCACAAGATTAGATTATGTTGAGACTGGGTGTTCCAAGAATCCACAAAAGAAACAATGCTGGGACTGAAATGTTAATGCAGCACAAGTTATTGAGTGACCATGTTAAACCAAGATATTTTTTGTATATGCCTTCATCAGAACATCAGCTTCATCCTGTTGTTTTTTTAATCATTTGTTTTGAATTGAATTCAAAACAGTAACTTGTTCATTACATTACATTTCATTTAGCTGACGCTTTTATCTAAAGCGAATTACAATCAGCGAATCAACCATGAGGGAACAAACCCAGAACAACAAGAAACAAGTGAGTACAATCTGCTTCAAAAAGGCCAAACTACACGTAAATGCAACTAAACTTAATTTATTGTTTTTGTATAAACACCAGAGTTGACGATGGCTATCAGACGTCATCTTCTTAACCAAGGTGTAGTCAGAAGAGATGTGCCTTTAGCCTGCGGCAGAAAATGTGTAGACTTTCTGATGTCAATGGGGAGCTCGTTCCATCATTTTGAGAGGCAGGACAGCGAACAGTCGTGATTTCGATTTTATTCCACGTCTAGTATTTTATTGATTCCTCTTGTGCCACCACTGCCACCAGTGCTCTCCTCCATTTGGGTCATGAGCACATATCCCGTCACCGGCCAGTGGACCCCAGGCTGATCCGTGGAAAATTCTCCTTCAGTGGGTCCATGTCTCTCGGTGTGGGCACAACAAGCCTGCATGGCCTGGGTGTTAGTCACAGAGATCAATCAGGGGCCCCCTGCCTGGGCAGAGAGACCTTTACCCACAGGGGTGGGGGTGTGGTGATGATGGTGGTGTTGAAGCGGGAATGATGGGGGGGTTGCCTGAGATCTGTATACACCTCCATCTATCCACACGCTTACACACACAACAGTGCGGTCCTCCCCACCACCTATGGCGTGCCCTCGCTGAGACACAGTCTTGATATGGAAACGACATGCATATGTATTCATGTGACTGCCGGCTCCATGTCCTCGGGCCAACCCAGACTGCAGCTCTTTTGCTTTCTGTGCAAGCTAATTACATTTCTGCTTTATTAGTGCAGAGGTATAGTCAGGAATATTTTGCATTTCAGATCTCATTCCCTCCTTTTAATATCAGACCTGTCTTCGGCATTCTTATTTGATTTGAGTGATCACGAATACTCCAAGAAATCAGACCGTCCAAGAAAAAAATGTTATGCATATAATATTACCAGTGTTCTGGTGGAGGGCTTAGGGTCCCATGCTATTGTGTTTTTCTCTATATTACTGCAGACTACTGTAATTTCTGTTTACTGTAAATGAACACTGTAAATTCTTATTAGTGAAAATCAAGCAACACGTAGTTTCATCTCGGGAATGTATTTATTTTGCTGCTTCCAAGTAAAAAGAGGACTACTTCTCGGGCTTCATGTTAGCTATACAGACTATTTAATACAGTGACCTTCATGCTGACATCTTGGTTTAACTGAAATAACAACAAGAAAACTAAACAAATATTCAGTACATTTTATTGTGTTGTTTATTTCCTTCACACTGGCAGCAGTCTGGGCTGGAGGGATTATGGTTTCAGTTTGTCCGTCCTACCATCCCGTTCTCATTAACTGAACATCTCAGGAACGCCTTGAGGGAATTTCTTCAAATTTTGCACAAAAGTTTACTCTGACTTTAGGATGAGCTGATTAGAATGTATTGGTCAAAGGTGAATATTATTTTGACCTTGCAAAACCAGGTTATATTAGAATTCATATGCTTATTGATTTAATGGAAAAATACATTTAATATCTTTCATTTGATTTGTTCAAAGTCTTCTTACATACAGTTCATCATAAGCATTATTGGTCTGGACAGATATAGATGGGGTTATATATCAGGTTATGTTTTCATCTGAGTTTGTTTAATTTAATTTTTGATGATTATGGAAGAACTACTCTGCTGATTTCCATGAAACTTGGTGGAAGGATGCAGGATGGATTAGGAGAGAACCCACTGAATTTTTGTACGGATCATGATCAGGGAAGGGATCCAGGATTCTTTTTTTACTTTTTTATATTTCACTTTTTCTAACATTGCGAGATGTGGCATTTTCAACATTTTCAATTAATTTCTCATAGAATAATTCATGTATTTTGATGAAAAGAAATCTGGCACATTCAGGGGACTGATATTAATTAGTGTGTGCAATTTTGGTGCAGATCCAAATAAGAATACAGATCTAGCGACTTAAATGACGTTTCATAAAGCAAATGTTGGGCCTTGGCAGAGGTATGCATTCTTCTGAGTCCAATTCTAGTTGAGAAAAATCCACTTAATGTGTATTTAGTTTTTTTAGTTTGATTCTAGCCCCATCCACTTACATGGAGGAGAAAGGGTTCATAACGTATACTGCAGCCAGCCAACAGGAGGTGATAGCAATGCTTCGGCTTCACTTTTTGGGAGCTGTCTTGTCTTCCATCTTTATTTACAGTCTATGGACCAAGCAGGTCATGTGAGAAGAGAAATTACTTATAATAGAAACATTTGAATGTATGTGAATAGTACAGTTAGTATAATTATTCATATATTATAATTTTCAAAATATTTTTATATTCGGATACTCAACTCGTTTAATGAGCTTTTTATGGCACACAAGAGTATATGTCTCAAAAAGAGGCAGATGTTGTGTTCAATAGAAACTGTGAAGTATTTTTGTTTATCTGCTCAAACCTGGGGAGATTTGCATATCTTTAAAGAAATGCAGACACTTCCTGTTGTATTTCTGTAAAGTGAATGTGCTGTTGCATTCGTTTCAGAAAAACTGAGGTGTTACATTATATGGTAATTTTTGCTGCTGTTACACAGCTCTGTGTCGATTCAGTATCACATAGATAATGATATTACTGCTTTAGTTTTAAGGGATCTTATGTAATCAATCACTTTCCTTAATGCACATTATCCATCGAGGCAGTTTTAAGCTGTGGAAGGAGCAGCTTTTTTTTGCCTGAGTGAACACAGCCTCAGGCCTGTTTCATTCCAGGACAGGTCAAGTTATCCATGAGGACGTGATGAAGAAAGTTGCACAGCCTGAGGTGCAGCAAGGGGTATAATCCTATGTATCCATGCTTGTGTTGTTGTGTAGATTCTCTCTGTGAAGTCAAGTCATAATTACACCGAGTGGTGGAAGAGAGGGAGGAATAGAGGAGAGAATGTAGAGGTGTGCAAGGTTCACAGAGCTGCTCTAATCGTCTTTGTCAACCTCCTGCCGTGGTGTCAAGTTTCATATCGGCTCTCTGCGGCCGCACCAAGGAGCAGGAGGGCCTCGGCATGGGTGGAGTTGGCTGACAGTGTGTGTCTGCACTCGGGCGCTCGAAAAGAACTCAGGGCCCCCGCACCGTGCACATGCACATACACTAAAACCCGAGCATCACATGCACATGCTCTGTCGCAACCACCACGGTGGCATGGACGCAAATGACTGTGGAGGTGAGCCAGTGAGTGGCGAGAGGCCACTCTGTGTGTGTTCTGTGGTTCTTTGTTCCCTCCGTCAGAGCCACTCAGAAAAGCCGCTGCCCGCTCTGGGCCAGTCCTGTAAGCATGACACATCATCATTCTGTTAATTCAGGCCAGAATCGGAACCATTACTTGCCAAGTACAATAATTGCGCAGGAATTTGTCTTTGTGACAGCTCCCACAGAAAGTCCCTGCCTTTAAAGGGTGAGCGGACCTTGTTGACTCTCAAATGCGACGACCCAATCACAGTTTCTGCATGTTTTCCCTGTTCTCCGCTAATATGCAAACATTATAAAGTCAACATTATGTCTGTGAGAAATGACCAGCGTATCAAGAAAATACATTAAGTGTAGCACAGCAGTGCGTAAATAGAATTTGCTGACATTAGTGTATAGTTTGATTCATCACAGCTCAGTGCCAATCCTCTGGAGCATCCTCGCTGCATCCAAACGCTCTTCATCTCCCTGCCTCTGCGAGTGTTGACACAAATAGACCCTGGAATGGGTATTTTGTGCCATTATGGTCAAAGCCAAGCCCACTGTTACAAAACCAATGGACAACTTCATCCAAGAACACATTCATGAATACAAAGATATCCAACACATTTTCTAAAGGAATATTTATTATGATAATTTCAGGACGTGAATACTGATGTGAAGTAATGGTTTGAGTACAAAGCTCAATGTTGCTCCATGCCCAAACCAAATTCGGAATTCTTTTTCTATGGATAAATCCTATTGACTAAGACAAATTAAGAGCACAAATGCACCTTTTGTGGATGCACATTGTTTCCTGTTTTCTTAAGAATTGTGATGACAATTTGTTTCTGCTAATGAGGACAGAAGGAGACAGTGTAGATGGACCAACCAGTAAGAGTCTAATACTTCTTTTACACCAAAATTACCAGGTATATGCAGGTTTTTAAATGTAGGTAAACTTGCTTAAAAAAGGCGATTGACTCCTTTCCAGTTACTTGTAGAGGAGTTTGCTTCTGTTTCCCCCCCAGTGCTTCATGTTTAACAACACAAATGCACTAAAAACAGGTGCTCTCTCACCTCGTTGTCTTGCCAACTTAACATGTTCATAAGGGTGTCTTTAGTCCATCACTGCCGATCGAGCAGGAACCGCAGAGTAATTTGACCCTTGAGTGAATACAGATTGAATCCATTCCCATTGTAGACGAAATCCAGATCTTAATGGGTGTTAGTGGGTGTTTTTGACCAGTGGAAAAGTGTCCCTGCGTTACCCTGGCTCCTGAACTGCAACTGCAATTCTGCCTTGAAATGTATTGTTGCATGATCCAAAATCTCTAGTGACATCAAATGTACCATATTTTTCTGTTGAGGTTTGTAGACGATTTGTGCGAAAACTGACCGAACACCAACAAAAGGCTTACTACACAAAGACCTTGCCCTATGTGGGTGGCTTTATAATGTATTTTGTTCTATTAAGTCATGCTTTTCATTGTATGTATCTTACTCTCATGTTTCAGGGATGATGATGACATCAATGATGTGGCGTCCATGGCCGGGGTGAACCTGAACGAGGAGAGCGCTAGAATACTCGCCACCAACTCGGAGCTAGTGGGAACTAAGATCCGCTCATGTAAAGACGAGGCCTTTCTCCATCCGGGACTGCTGCACCGACGAATACTGGAAACAGGTGAGAAATATCTACATTGCCAATTGAGTAATGTAAATCTTCAACATATAACCCCAAGAGATCTTAGTTGCAGTTATTGAAAGCTGGCCTCTCAGAAAACAATGTGGTTATTACAGCGACAGGAAGAATCTTAATGTCATCTCAATTTCTCCTCCACCATCCCACTGTGGAAACAAACAACAATCCAGCGCTAAATACACCCAGGCTGCAGCAGTGATGAAATCCCGATCTGTTGTCTTTTGTGTGAGGAACATGTTGTTTCTGTGTTTATAGTGTCATCATTTTGATTTTCTCTCCATCAGTGGCTCGAGCCGAGCCTTTTCTTGTTTGGCCTCGGTTTAAATTTGATAACGCTTAACAATTCTTTCACCTCCTTTAATGAATTCTTCAGTGGCTGTCTGAACTGACTGGACCCCAGGCACACATATAAATACTTTATGGGTTTGTCTTTTGAAGGCTGGCTGTCAGATTGTCCTCTGGACTAAAGGAACAGAGTTTAGAGGAATGAGACATGGCAGTGAAATTTCTTTTTAGTGGGTCTTGACACTCTGGTAGCACACGGTGTTGCACGTGCTAATCGATGCGGGTGGAAAGATCTTGGCTTTTTTTTCTTCCATGATCACATGATAATAACAGTGTCTTCATTACTTCTCTTTGCTACTGGCAGTCATATTTATTACTTGAAACATACTTTAGGCTCTCACTGCATAGTGAAACCTGTGAAAATGGATAATGAGCGTTATTACTCAAAATAAACCTGTGCCTAGCATTTCGCTCCTGTGCATCAGATCAAAAAACACAGCATAATTCCACGTGACGGGGAGTCTAGCGCCCTCATCTCGTTTCATCTCAATTAAAGTATCCTCAGTGTAGCACGGAGACCTGGAGGTCATGTTTCGTTATATGGACTCGTGGCGTGGTTGTTATCCCGTCACCTTGGGGCAGAGGGGTTGTTTAAAGATATAAATCTTTCCTTGGGGGGGGGGGCGCGCAGCATGATGCAGGGCAGGAGGCTAGGGCGCCCCCTGCTGGGGAAGTGGCACTTGTGCAGCTTTGTTGTGTCAGTGATTGGCCTCTCTGCGCTCCCAGCTGACAGCAGTCCGAGGGAGGCTCCCCCGGCCTGCCAGCTCCACTCAATCAGAAAGTGCTGCTCCTCTTTACTGGCCACCTAGTTTCACTCCTCTCTGCCTTCTCATTAAGCGCTGACCACCCTGCTCTACATCTTCACTCTGACCTCTCCTGCCCACTTTGTGCCCTGTAAAGGGCTGGTCCTGTGTCTTCTTCTTTTAACTCAGGTATTAAATCATAGGACATAACAGTTCACTTTTTATTCATCTTATTTCCTTTTTTATTCTTAAATCAGTTGAGACTTCCTGATTGCCCATTCTTCACCCGACCTTTTTTAAAATTCTGATTCCAGGAGAGGATGTTTGCTGCCTCTTCTTATGCATCTTGTTTCTCCTCCTCTCTTATTTTATCCCCTCCAAACAAACACCCTTGTGCCACCCTCTTCTCCCAAACCTGTAACCCCCCATCCCCTCATGATGCTCATGGCTTGTCCTTGAGGTTGTGAGGTGAAACAGCACTTCACCCCTTCATTTTAGGAACCAGAACACAGGCACAGCTGGAGCGCTCTAGAAAAAAACTCCACTGGTACCTTTAAGTTCACAACACACACACTTGGGCTGATTACATAAACTTACAGTGCAAACACAAGGAGACAGATAAAACACAGGTTGTTAATGCTGCTGGAAATCCATATGGGGAAAATGTACTCAAAATCATCTTAAATATATCTTCATAGCACAACTGATTGATACAAGGAAATAATAGCATTGAAAATAATAATAATTATTATTCTTTTGATTTTTGTTTTCAAATCACTGCTCAATTTGCAACCTTTTTGGTTTTTGCATCCTTTGTTTGGTCTTTTTTCGCTATTGAATCTAGAATACAGTTCCTGTTGGCAAATCAAGCCAAATCAAATTTATGAAGCTAAAAATATAAACAGTAAATGTAGGGTTTGAAAACCATATCATATACAAATGCTTTGGTTGACATAGCGTTTTAAATGAATGTTAGGAATATTGCCTTGCAGGGACTGGGGGAGGAATCAAATTGCTCAGGTTGCTTGGGAGCGCTGGCAGGGAGCTTGAACGGAGCATCGTCTGGTTATGAAACTTCAGGTTAAGGATCAACTAGGGGTCATTAGCATTTGATAAGTCCTCATACAGGTGGTTGACAGATTTAAATGTCTTAGTATGGTGTTGGGTCAACCTGTGATGCCAGAATGGCTTTAATGTGACTTGACACAGATTCTTCAAATCTCTGGAGCTGCACTGGCAACATGAAACACCCTTCTTCAAGAAGATGCTCCCACATTTGATGTTTGGATGATTGTGATGGAGGATGCTGTCTGCCCACCCATAGGTGTTCACTTGGGTTCAGATCTGGTGACAGGCCACAGCACATCAATTTCATACTCATCAGACCATTCAGTGACTCATCATGCCCTGTGAGGAGGCGTCTACTCTGTTTCCCCTGGTGGTTACATCCGTCCAGGGTGATCCGATCACAAGGGAGCTATGCTAAGTTCAGGTCTGAATGCACCCAAATGCGTCCTGAATGTGTCTTCAGGTCCGTTCTGGGCCACATATGAAGGATCAACTACTCAGCTGATGTCCTCTGACCTGCTACAGTATAAACATCATTTTATGCTTCTTATTGTCCATACATTGATTTGTTTGGAGTCAACGCATCAATATCAACACTGACTGTCACATACTGATACTTTTCCTTAATTAGTAAAATCTTTCTTCATAACTGTGCACATTCATTCACCAACACACACCAACATTGTCGTCGGACACATCTGTAAACAGTCGTGATTATTTGCAAATAGAGCAGGGAAGTGAAATCTGATCACGCATGATCACAGGATACACATTCAGGTGTGAACAGACGAACCTCGGATCAGATCTCTTTTATGTTGGATCTCAATACCATTTCTGAACAGGGTCTAATTGGTTCAGCTTTTTCCTCCTACTCTGTCTGTAGGTCGACATGTGTTTTGACTTCTGGAGAAATCTTATGATCACGTCAATCACCTTCGCTCTGGGTGTATGTGGTTTCTGCTGTGAGCCATTTATCTAATTTCGTTTGCTCAGAGAAAGAGCTGTTTTATTCTTGGCATCGTGTGAAGCACATTTTCAGTAAGATGGGTGTGAACTGGAACAAAGATATGACTCGGGGCTTTGGCATTTCGGCTTTTTGAACATGAAGCGTGGTCCTTGTGGCTTTATTGGACCTTGACTCCTGACGTGCAGTTGATAAATTTGCCGTGGTCAGGAGGGATGAAGGTCAGGACCTGTAAGGAAAAGGTGAGTTGATTGATGTGGATGAGAGAAAGTAGGTGCCCCCAAGTGGAGCTCAGTTATCTCAGGGTCTTTAGCTATTATACGACTGCGGGCAGAGCTTAAAGCGCTCAGTGAAAGTTATATCAAAAGCAGCAATGAAAGCTACTTTAAGAATCACATAGTTAAAGGTATTATGGACAGACACTCATTCAGACAGCTCATTCAGGACCTTTTCCATGTTTACTGCCAGCTGCTCTTCAGGGGGACCCTTGTTGCTATGGATACCAGTCAGTTCTATACTAGATAAATATTCAAGTTATCAAGACTCAATGCAGATTGTTGCAGATCTCCATGATTGTGTTGGAAATGATGGGCAGACAGATACTGTTTAATAATGTATTGTGGTTTTTAACATTATTTAACAACACTGTTCAAGCTACCATGCAGCAAATATACATCGACCTACCATCTTCCTTTATCTCTATGTGGTTCATTCTTCAGAATAGACAGTTTGTTCTACAATCTTTTCACAGTCCTGGTATTTATGAAAGGGTTTTTTATTTGTTCTTTTTGAAATGTTTACTAATTTATACCTTAACAAGATCCCTCATTGTAACGCAGACAGGAAGATCTTTGATATTTCCCCTCTCAAATGACACGTAGCTTTAGTCTCTTAAAATGACAACTTCATTCTCGAAATATCAGATTGTTTTCCTCTGCCCTTGTTAAAAATGCATTTTGGTTTTTATATTTACAAAGATCATTGTTCTAACATGGTCACAATGGCAGTGCTAACAAGCTGATGTTCAGCAGGTATAACAGGTTTAATATAGTTTAGTGTGATAACTTGCAAACATTCACTGTTAAAAAACACTTCATAACCGGAGATGTTCAGCCTTTGATGAATGTAATTCTTCTTCTTTTCTCTCTTTCCAGTATGAATTACACTCAATATTAAAGCTGTCCAGCTCATTAGTCGGTTTCTAGCTGTTACTGCCTGTTTTTTTCAGGGTGGATGATAATGATTTGTATCGTTGCATGTTGAAGAATGTGTTTTTTGCTCACAGAAATGTGCCCGTCTCTGGTTAAATTCTCTTAAACTTTCTCTGAAATATTAATGTCCCTGAAAGATCTTATTTTTGAAAGAGGCAGGCCTATTAGTGTTTTTCTTTGACCTTGTGACATTGCTACTTGTATTGCCACTGTAATTATAAGGCTAACAGGGCTCCCTCCATCTATTTCAAAGCTGGAGCTGGTGAGGAGTATATGTATTGTTCAGCTGATTTAAATAATTGGTGTGGTTTACTTAAAAGGGTGCCAGAGAGAAAATTATGTTAATGGAATAATTTAAAAGGAAGTTGGAAACAGATAGTAACCCTACCAAAGTCTGTCCTCCTCTCTTTTGTTATGACTTCAGATGAGTTTTGCTCCAAGGAAACTAAATTATCCTTCTCCTCGCAAAAAGAGATGGTCAATGTCGTTTACACACTCAAAGGAGCTCAGCTTGTAAAGCCACTTTGGAATTTGCACTAAGACTGTGAAACAAATTAACATTTCTGTGTGATGAGTCCTATTTCTAGGAGTTAATTGCACACAATAATCCAGACAGTTTCTCTCGGTGAATGTGTGTATGAGTACAGTAAGTGTGTATGACTGGAGGTACTGAATGACGGCCGTTGTATTCTGTCGGTTTGTTTTTATGAGTTGTATTTGCGTGTGCGTGTGTGTGGCTCTCAAAAACAATTACCTTCTACCTGCTTAGTTGTTGTTTTTCTCTGAAAGGCAAATTGTGAAAGCAAGAGAGAAAATAATAAAACAGTCATGTACAACCTCTTTATTCCTTCAGGAAATCAAAAGTGAGGACAGATGTAATAAAACTTGCAGATCGTAAAGAAGAAGATCACTGTTTCAATCATGACACAATCAGTATGAGAAGCAAGAGCACTAACTGAACCTGTTACATGAGAGAGTGTCAAAACTAATGATGTACTGATCTCAAAAGTGTTGTCTTGTCCTAAATGTGTGTGTGTGTGTTTGCGTGTCCTTCACAGCTAAGAAGTTCGGAGTCACAGAGGTCCCCATGGAGGCAGTGACATTCATCTCGCACGCCACACAGTCGCGACTTCGCACCGTGGTAGAAAAAGTTTCGACGATCGCACAGCACCGACTGGACTCCTGTAAGGTAGGATGAATGTGTACACACATGCACATACAGACACAAACACACACACATACACACACACACACTTTCAGACATGCACTGACATGAAATCCAAATATTTTCCTGAAAATTTCTAGAAGGGCTGAATGTTAGAACGCAAATGTCTAAATCAGTTGTCCCGGACATTTATCAGAACTTTTCTTGACAGCCCTGAAAATGTCTGAGTGAGCCCATGTGAGAATACAGAAGGAAAAATTCAAAGCGATGGAGTGGACTTGTTGATGATGATTCTAACACAGACCCATAACTGAAAAAACCTTAAGTAATACAAATATCCACTTGGAAAGATACGAGAGCTTTTGGTGATAAGGGTCGATGTCAGTGTAAATGTACTGCAAACAAAAACACGTCATAGCCACATTGGAATTAAATATCTGCCTGCTCTACACCTTACTCCTTAAGCTTGCATAAAGCTGATGGTTGCACACTTCGGCTATCACTTCTAAACATTTTCACACAACTGTGTACAAGCACACAGGCTGTGTCTTGCAATCCAGCAGGGGGCCATAGCAGGTCAACGGCACAATTAATGGGTCAAACTGCACCAAAGTTGAATTTAATGCGAAAAACTTTCATAGATTTACTTTGCTTGGCAGAGTCCACTAATTGTGTTGTTTCCATTGGAATGAATGGAGAGGACTTACCTTTACCCTCAGTTAAAACCCTCGAGCTCACTGCAGATAATCAGCATCCCCTTATGTTCTGCCTGTACTATTTTGCTATGTGATAATATAATCAACAATGAAATAATAAAAAAGATGTGTTTCCTTGTCTTTGTAAAACTGGCAGGTCAAGTTTCAATCCGATTGAACAGGGTCAGATTGCGAGCAGCAGTAAACACATCTGTGAAAATGTGGTGTCACTGCAGCCACAGCATGTGGGTTGCATTCAAAACATAACTTGGAACAAATGAATTAGCTGGGATTCATTAGAAATTGATTAGATCATATAAACACAACCATCGTTTTTTAACCAACTTTTGTAAAGAAACACCATCAACAACACTTGTGATTTATGTTTCTACTTCCAAAATCCTGGAAACTCCCTCTTAGAAAGCCAACATGCTCACTTTCATGTGCATGACTCATTTGTAAAGCCAGTGCTGTGCTGGTGAGTGTCATCGGGAAAACAGGTGCTGCCATGTTGCCCCGATTACGTTATTTTGAGACAGACTCTGAAGAGTAGTGACCGTAGAGTGGAGTCGCAATATCAAAATCCTGCCGATACACTCATTCGACCAATCATAAGTCAGTCTCAGCTGTTAATCATGATGTTATAGCATCAGACAACATATTAAAACCAATCTTACCAGAAAAACTTAAACATAAATCGTTATGACAAAAACCATCCTAGAGGAAAAGTTTATTGGACGTGTACTTTTAAGTTTGATGCATGTCCCATCCACTAACATGGAGAATGCAGGGTTCACGACCTATGCTGCAGCTGGCCTCCAGGGGGTGATCAAGATGTTTTAGCCTCACTTTTGGGGAGCGAACACGTTGTCCGTCTTTATATGCAGTCAATGGCATGTGTGTGTTATTCCTCTACTCTCACCAGTTCTGGTGCCACCTTTACTGAGGCTGTTATAATATAAAGGCATAAAATAACCAAAGAAGTGAAAATATGAATCTGTTATTGTGAAAAATGTGTGGCGAGCAGGCATTTGCATACAGCAGATATTTATGTAAGAAAATATACAGTAAATATTGGATTAAAACTCAAAGGGGAAGTTAAGTGGCTCGAGTTGGAAAAGAAACTTTATTGCAGTGAAGCAGACAGATGCATAAATACGTAAACTGGAATATGGACACAGTTTTATGCTCCAATGTTCACACACAAAAACACAGTGGCATGAAATCCACTGTTCACACAACACATAAGAGTTAATATGAGAGATTGTCTTTACTCTTAAGTTGATAACCAGGTGAGCTCAGACTTTTCAGTCAGTCAGTCAAAACTTGAGGAATGAAAGTACTTCTGAGTCGCGCCTGTGTACACCCGCGCACTTTTCTCATTATCGGTGGCTTTATCTCTCATGGCTCTTGAATGTAACTATATAACCACATTTAATTGGCGTGCATTAAAGTGCGTATCCATCTCAACTCCAAGCTTAAATCTTGACGTTGTTGGGAGAACTGGGGGTAAACTTTGAAAATGTGTTTTTCCCTGATGCTAAAGCGGGAGGAGGGGGAGGATGAGGATGAGGAGGAGCAGGGAGGAAGAGAATCGCTACTGCTGTCCCCATCTTGTTTTGTGCTTCTTCTTCTTCCTTCTGTTCGTTCTTTTCCTCTTTTGTGGTTTTGTAAATGAGGTGTGTGTGCGTGAGGGAGACACGGAGCTCTGTGAAGCCACTCTGTTGACATCAGCGGAAAAAAAGAGAGAGAGAGAGAAAAAGACCAAAAGACAAGCGGCCTTAAAGAGCAACCGGGCTTCGGCAGCGGCGGCAGGATCTACGGCAAGAGTGCGAGCTCAGCGCTGCAACAAAGAGGGGGGAGACTGGATGAGAGAGAGAGGGGGGGGAGAGAGGGGGGTTGGAGGGGTGCTGGCGATGAGACTCCTCTGATGTGTCTTTGTGTTCTGTGCCACCCAGCTTCTCTCATCCACACAGACCTGACACACACACATGCTGCTAGAAAAGAGATTGATATAGAAATCAAGTGCAAGAGGAGAACAGAGATGCGTAGGAGACATACACACACAAACACGTGAAATAGGCAATTATCCTATTAACTTTTGATGACCTACAAAAGTTGCTTTTACATTTGCCTTGCCTTCTCCCAAGTGGGAGGTGATGCTCCACATGCAAAGAGATGCGTCGTCGGTAAATAGGAAAAGTTAGTGATCGGCTGGTGATGTGTTCAGACTGGGGATGTTCCACTCAGCCCGTGTCCCACAGTTAAACCACATGTGCTCTTTATAATAAAGAGTATCTTTACCTAGTTACTGTACTTAAGTAGATTATTTTGAGGTGTTTTTCACTTCCAGCAAATATCTGTACTGTGTACTGCTTGTTTTACAAAGCATTGCATCACATTTTCAAAGTTTTTTCATACATTATAAAGTAATCAATAAGTAGATAATATAATTGGTCCGTTGATCCAATCAGAGTGGGCAGGTAACTGCAGAAGCATCACTAGTGCAGACACATCTAAACTGAATTGATGGATGGAGTGGCCACTGCCGACCCTCAGCCATCAATGAATGACAAGTAAATGTTTTCAGCAGCATCGTCCGCAGAATTCTTTATTAATGTGCGTCTGTTTCTGAGTCTATTATTCTTGTATCAGACAAGATATACTGTAGATACAGTTAATGATGCAGTGGACGGTTGCATTAGGGAATAGGAAATACTCTGCAGGTACTTTTAATACTTGAAGTATATTTTTAAAAAGTTCTTACTTTAACTTGCTAATTAACTTTTACCCAAGATAATGTGGTACTTTTACATTTGTGTCTATTTATTTGAAAAGAGTAAAATGATTGTCAAAAAAAAAGCTTCTAAAGTAATGTTCATAAGATATTTATAGTTGTAAATCAACATTTGTAAACCTGTAAAGCAGAAGTTGTTTTTGAAAAGACATTAAACCTGTTAAACATATTTAAATTGTGAAGTCACACTAAGAAAGATGAACATTGTGTGTAGATACAAAACAGAAGTGTGTCTGCACAAGTATATTTTGAATCAGTTAATCAGGAAAAGACCCAGGGGCTAATCGATATGAAATAGAAAAGATATAAAAAAGAAAAGATACAAAAATAATTGCTAGGTAGTTGTAAACTTAACTTCTTATCATAAATGTTTATCCATCAACTATTCAGAATTCTGATATTCATATATTAAAATTGTGAGACTAAAAGTGGACTCCGATCATTATTATTTCTACATAACATAACATTTAGACTAGTGTGAATCACATGACTGATGATGTCAAATCATTGTCCAAATCTTCTGTCACTGATATCGAGCAAATATTCAGCTACTCCGCTGTTCTTTCTGTCAAACCTGATATTTTTACAATAGGTTTTCTTAATTGTTTCTTAATTGTTCACTGTGTATAGATGGAATAAAAGCTTTCTTAAACTTCTTAAACTAAAAGTTTAAAAAAAACCTCAGAAGCAGCCACTGAACGGGACTCTGAGCTTTTTTTTTTTCTCCAACTGTTAGCGTTGCAGTGATGTTCTCTCTATCTGCCTGTCAGGATGATGAGTGCTACGAGCAGTCTGCAGACGTTCGCTCTCAGCTCCGCTTCTTCGAGCAGCTGGAGAGAATCGAGAAGCAGAGGAAGGACGAGCAGGAAAGAGAGATCCTGTTGAAAGCCGCTAAAGTAAGTTATTGTCACCTCACCATCCTGCTGTGTGTGTGTGTGTTTGTATGAGAGAGACTTGTTATGTCCCCATGCAACAGTGTGCTTGTGTACTGGTGTGTGTGTATGTGTGCATGTTGCTCCTGCGCAGGCCCTGACAGATGAATTAGAGTGTGACACCAGTGGATGAAGTGACCTCCCTGTGTCCTCCCAGGCTCCTGGCCCCAGGGCTCCTCTGTCCTGGCTCTTCCTCCCTGGACACAGCAAGGAGGGGGGTGGGGGGCTGGGTCATGCACTATACGCAACTCCCATGCACTGGCCGCACACTCACCCAGCCCCACGTACAACCTGCAAAACATCCCTCTATCACACAGCCTTGACAGCTCATCTGTTTTAAAAAGAGTCCAGATTTGTCCATCTATCTATGAGCGCACACGCTCTTCCTTATATTGTCCTTAACATCTGGTCCTGAGTGAACTGGCAAGTCTATTTAATAGAAAGGAAAACTGCATCATTCCAGTTTTGGTGGATGCAAAACATTGCCTTGCCTAATTTGCACATTCACCCATTTGCTATGTTTCCATCGCAGCAGATCTGAACATCTGTTGACAAAAGCCAGAGTTGTTTTTCCCATCGTAAGCTGACCTTTGCTGAATATTTCAGGAATACCTCTTTAATGCCAAATATATTGGAAAAATATTTTTAAAATTGAGAACTTTGAGGCATTTCTGGTGCTGGTGTCAGAACGTCTCTTGAAAAAAATATCTTCATTTTATCAACGATGCATCATTTCCCCAAACCTTGTTAAAGTTGGAAGGGTGGGGAAGAAGAGGATAGATACTTGGTGGTAGTAAGTGAGCTTCATCTTAAAACACAGTCTACATGCAATGCTTTTCACTGCACCCTCAATGGTGGTGAAGGCTATTGTATGGACTTATAATTAGTTGGGCAATAAGTGAAATGGAATGTCAGTCATCATCTCATCAGTTAGCAGCAGCTGCTAAGTCAGTGAGTTATTTAAGACGTCTGGAATAGAGCAAGGTCGAATATCTAATATAAATCTACAATCCTCAGAAATCATGGTCACTTGTTTTCTTGGATCCAGCTTTTTGCTGTTTTATACACTATACTGTACACTATAATCTTTTTCAAGCACATAAAAAACTCTTTAGAAAATATAATCAATTGTTGAGAGGTTTTCATTTATATATTGATCATTGATACACAAAGCTTATTAATACACAAAATAATGCAGTAAACAAATGGAGAGCATGCACAAGCTTTATAAGACAGTATTAAAACCACTTATTTCAAACAGCATCTTTGCATTATTACCTGTCCACTATAATGATCTCAGTCCTTTGCATTCTGAGACATTTGTTTATCAGTAAAAAAGAGGTCTTAAAATTGGAAAAGATCACCACAGACCAAAAATAAAAAGAGCAAGAGAATCTTTTCTAAATGAAAATGCCCCGCAGTACAACATTAGCAGAAAGCTAGGTTAATTTAATTAATTTTGAATGGAGCCAATGTCCCACAGTAAGGATTCTCATTGCTGCACACCTCACCGTCTTAATTGCATTATTATGCTCCGGTCCTGCCATGCAGGATATTAGAAAATGGCCTAGTTGATGAACGTTGGCCACCGGACCTCATGACCTGTCTGTTTATTCTTTTAGGAGAAATCACATCAGGAAACAACACTGTAATGTTTCTTGTTAAAAAGGAATGGTGCAGCTTTTTTTATTTCCTTCTGTAAGGTTTCAGTTATGTATGGCTGAACAGTGTAATCCTTCTTTTTTTTTTTTACCATGAAGAGCTTTCTTTATTAACAGGATTAGTGGAGAACTTTTGCAAATTTAGCCAAGTTCCTGCAGGAAGGGCTCACCACAGGGCTATTTGCATTGCCCAAGCCTCCATGAGGATAGTCTGACTTCACCTCAGAGCCGTGTCTGTGGCTTTTTGGCTCCTGTTGCCATGGCGTTTCGGGTCAAGGAGAAGTTTGGAAAGCAAATTTTTGCCTGATGAGTGTTAAGTGTATTACACCAACACACTGCCTGACAACATGCAAGTAACATTTCTATGATTTAACACTGTGCGCTCAATCTTTTTCTGACTTCTCCACATTATTATATGTAAGTACATTTATTCATTGTATCTGTTGAATTACTACACATAGTTTTAATCTCTTTTTGTTTGTTTGTTTTGTAAGAAAGATTACACAAAAAATACTGGATGAAGTTCCACAAAACTTGGTGGAAGGATGTAGTATAGGTCATGGAAGAACTGGTGCAGATCCAGGATTTTTGTTTTACTAACATAGCAAGATGTTTTTTCACAGTCTTGTTGATTTCTCAGAGAATAATTCATGGATCCTAAAAAAATCTAACATGTTTAGGGGACTGATATTTATGAGTTGGCATAATTTTGTACGGATCCAAATTCTATTTGGGGATACTAACAAATGAAAAATAAACTTTACTCTTTCCCACAACTAGATGAAACAGGTGCAACCCTCTGTTGGTTTCCATGAATCATTCTGGGCGACGCAAGGAAATCACTCTGCAAAGTAAAAATAGACAAAACTGGTTGACTTAAAACAAAAGTTGTACCTCATCCCAAAAAGACTCCTGGAATATGGTCATCATTACTGTGGAGGGCTGCGTACTTGAGTGAGGAGTTTTTCTTCATTATTTCAGTACAGTACACTGCACCCAAACCCAGCAAAGCTTGTCAGTGTCTACCCCCCCCCCCCCTTTTCTCTCCTGTAAGTGGGAAAACCAGGGCAGCTGACAGAGGAGATGTAAAGCTCGCCAGTGGCACCGCTGCCCTTTGTAAACAGTCCATCTGTACCAGCCCCTCCCACTCCTCTGTGCCGCCGCCTCCCACCTCCCTGCCGGCCTCTCTCCACCGATCAAGCGGCTGCTTATTTGACCTCTTGAATAAGAAACCCACGAAAATAATCCTCTCAGTCTTCTTCTCTCCTCCTCCCCTCATAGCAGCACCTCCCCTCCACTCCGCTGTCCATTTCAAATATGACTCAGATCTTGAGGGATGCTCCGGCCGACCGGAGGGCAAACACATTAGTCTTATTTGAGATACCGACCAGTACGTGAACCGCCTGATATATTTAAAGGCAATTAGCAGGAAGAGCAGCCCTTAGTGCACAGGACAGTCAGGAGAAGGGGGGGGGGGGGCGGCCCTACACCAGACTTGATTGATTGATTTGATTCATATCGGGGGCTAAAGAAATTATTTATAAAACTAAAACTGATTTTTAACAGTCTGACACATAGAGTGTGTTGTAAAATATTGGTATCAAATTATGGTATTATCCTCTCAGATATTCTTCACATATCTGCATACATGATACACCACTTGAGATGTATCCGTGAACAAGGATATGTTTGCACGAAAGTGTTAGAGGGGTTTCATGCACCTGACCTAATTCTGACTAATCCAGCAAAAACATAACTACACAGATTATGTCCAAATTCACAAAGTAACTGCGTTCACTTAGTGTGCACGAGCCTAATCCGCCATAATGCCTGCAGTGGTCAGCCGTACATGTACATTTAGCTGTGGTGAAGGATTCCCAGGGACAAGTACATCCACCCAGATCTTGGCTGCTGATTAAAATAGAAGTGCTGTGTTGTTACGCCAGGGACATGCACTCACACACACACACACACACACACACACACGCACACACACACAGTAATGGGTAGCCAGTGTGACACACACATATACACACACTCAGCCACTGCCACTGATACTCACCAACATCCTTTGCCCTGTGTGTGTGTCTGTATGTGTGTGACTGTGTGTGTGTGCTGGCTCGTGCAGAATTTTTAATAACCTCTTTTGATTAGAATCCCCCTCCAGCGGCTTATTTAGGGCTGGATCTGGAGCGGGTTTAAAGGCCACCGCCCCCCGGGGGGCGCTCCATTGCACTTCTCTGAATTCAAATACGATGTCCTTGACACCTCTGTATCCTGTTCCCATTTTGCACTATTTTTGCTGCAGCAGCAACAGATGAGTGGCGAATGAAGGGGGCGGCGGTGGTGGCGGTGGGGTGGGCTCCCCTAAACCAGCTGTTAACCTGTGTCCCCCCCCCCCCTTTTACTCCACAGAGTCGCTCCAGGCAAGAGGACCCAGAGCAAGCTCGACTGAAACAGAAAGCTAAGGAGGTAAGCTGCTGCGGAGATCATTACCCTTGACATTTCCCCGACACTCCAGCGTATTAATTTTTCATGCCTCGCTACATATGTAATGCCATTTAAAGTCGGACTTAAAAAGTTTGAGGAATAATTTGCGCCGATTGATGCCCATGTGTGTAAAATGATTTTCTGCGCACTAAAGAGACTCTGCATTTCCTCCACCCCTCCTTTTTTCTTTTCCACTTCTATTTGAGCCTCTTCACCCAAATCCAGTTTGAATTTTGACTAACTGATTAATTGATAGATTTGCTATCAGGAGAATGCTATACACGGGTAACAGGAGTGGCCTTTGTAGCTTTAGGCTACATCCATACTACTAGGTTTTTGTCAGACACAAGCGTTTAAACCCCAGTCCAAACACCTGAAAAACAAATATCCCGTGACCACACACAATAGGCATGTGAGAGCCATAGAACGTAGGAAGCATTTGCGATTGCTTTTCTCCTGCACATGTAATCAGTTGTATTATTGTTAAAATGCATAACAGCTGTTCGCAAAGACAACGAGGTCAGCAACGCATGTAAAAGATCTTCCATGTTGTATTCTACACTGGTAGCTGAAGCTAATGCCGGTCGTTTTCCTTTGGAAAGGGGTCACGTTATAGGAGCCTGACAAATCAGCGAAGGCTATATGCCTTGACCGTAGAGTGTCTACGTCATTGTTTCCAAGCATCTCTGTTTCTGCCTGTCCAGATTAAAATGTAGCCCTGGAGTTTTTAAAACTAAAATGGGGCCAAGAATGTTTCCAAACTTCCCATTTTTAGCGTGTGGACCTCAGGCGTCTCCGTAGCAGAGTTGATGCCCTTTCAAACAAAAATGTAGTAGTATGGATCTAACTTTATTCAACATTAGTCACTTTGGCACATCTCTCATACACATTGGTTGTTTTAACTTGGTACAGCAACACATTGTGGCTTAAATGCGTCAAAGTCCAAATGCAGAAATACATGTGTTGCATAAAATTGTATGGAGAATGAGGGTTTCAGATGCACCAATCCATGCTCAGCATTAACTTTTACCACAACAAAGTAAAAAGGTATAAAAAGACTTATTTCCTTTTCCAAGTAATAGGCCGGGGCACATCACGTAGCATTGCAAACTGGCAACTGTTTCATCTGAAGTAGTGCTCTACTCTTGCTTGTGTGGTGCCACATCATCCTTGTTTCAAGAGCAGGTCTTGTATATAATGAAATTCCCAGTGGATCTCAGAAAGTAGACCATTCGTTTTTCAGTGGTTGGTTAATGTTGTTTACGCAAATGAAATAGTTCTGTCACAGTGGAAGTTTGCATTTGTTTTTTCTTTGTTTACTCCAGAATAACTTCACGGGTGCTTGTAGTCCTTGGCTCGCTAACAAGGATCAAGAGGATTGTGTGGAGCCTTCATAAAGCAGTCTGTATAGGCAGGGGGATAAAACAAGCACCATTCACCTGTTGTTGATGTAGAACTGAAATACCAGATGTGGTTTCATCTCAGCCACTTGCGCTTTTTAAAATAAGGCTCATCCAGGTTATGTTTACTGAGCAGGTCTGCACTAATGTTGTAATTTATTTCCTCACAGTTCTACAGTTTTCAGCCCCCCATTGTCTTTTAATGTCGGCCACTCAGCCATTTACTGTATATTAAGGGGTAACTGTAAATGCCTTGCTGAAGGGCAATTCCGTGTTTTTGTTTGGCCAAAGTATTTAAATTTGAGACTTTTCCCTAACAGTCTGTGGTGCTGAACTTGTAACCTTCAAGTGACAAGTACACTTCTCTTACCTCTGGCTACTTGGCAGCGTTGCGTCTTTTCTCTGCTCCTCTCCCGGACATTTCTTTCTAGCAACAGAGAGCCTCGCTGCAGTTTAAAACATTCACACTAGATCTCAGCTTACCCATAAGCCCCACATATGCAAATGAAGCTGCGTAATAGGCAGCACGATAGGTTCGCCCCAGGGGCCAAGTGATCAAAGTGGATCTCCTCCCTGTTAAGTGGCAGTCCGCTCGTCATCTGGATACGGCCAGATTAGCGCCTCGCAAGGAGACACTGCATGTGCACTTCTGCACATTTTCATTTTCAGCTGAAATTTTAAGAAGGTGGTTTGGAAATTGTTACTTTATGTAACGCTTTCTCCCGCTAGATAGAGATAAGGACTCGCAACCCACCCACAACTGCCCCCCTCCGCCTACCCACACACACAACACAACGCCGCTTCCACCCTCCCTCACCTCTTTCTTTTTTGCTTAATGGCCGTCGTTTCTCAGCCCCCGTGCCTCTCCGGTTTTCATCACCTGACTGGCTCAAGGGGACAGAGCTGGCTGTTTGTGTCACTGCAGAGTCTGTCGGCAGCTCACACATCTGCGCAAATTTCATCAGGATAATGAGCCCAAGCAACTCTTCCAGGCAACATGCAGAGGAGCCGGCCTCTGTTTAAGCCCTTCTCCCTGATCATGCATGCACACACACACACACACACACACACACACACACACACACACACACACACACACACACACACACAAAACAACAACCACGACCACCAAACCGTCACCATTTTGGCGAGATGGAATTATACAGCGTGCGTAAATTAAATTGAGCTGGTGCATGACTTGTTTTGAAAAAGGCAGGTGCAGTGTGTTGTTAAAGTACCACTGAAGAACTGAGTCTCATGGGGAAGCTGATGATCAGGAATTAACTCATAAGCACTAAAATAATGTCAAGCTCGGTTTGAATGTCAAGTCCAGGCAATTTCATTTACATAGCCCAAACTTTTTGCCTCAGAGGTCTCTAAAACACGCAACACCTTCATCATCTTTATTCATCACTTTCGAATAATTACACAAAAAAGGGAAGAAAAGAGGTCTGGTGTCTCCGTGATCCTTCATCATACCCAGATTAAAGTGGGTGATGGAGTTTTTGGTCTGAGAACGTGATATCTCTGAAGCTAAACACAGGCCACATTGTTGGTGCTTGAATAGCTTCAGTTAAATAAGTAGCATTGCTTACAGGGTGTTTTTTTTTTAATCCTGATAGCATAACAGTATTATACATGTTTCACACCAAAATTTGTGTGTAAACATGGGTTTTTCAAGTGCAGGTAAACCCGATTAAAAAGGCGATCAATTCCTTTCCTGTTGCCAGTAGAGGAGTGTTTTCCCCCTGGTGCATTGTGTTTGATGTCACAAACATGACAAAAACTGAGGCGCTCTCTCACCTTGTCTTGCCAAATTTGTGCCTTCACCTGGGTTTCTTGTGTCACCCTCTGACCCTCTTTCCCCAAGTGCAGGGTTTTCAAACCCTGACACTGCATGCTGTAAAAAGTACTAAGTCAGCTATTAGCAGGTCATGTTTGCGATGTAGCCACTTACTGACAATTATCACTGGATCAATTTGATACCAAAGAAACATGCCATTCATGTCATGCACCTGTTCATTTCACCACATGCAGTACCTCCAGCACCCCAGTGGTCAGGCACATCTCACAGTTTTGATACCTCTGCTCTTGTGCCTGACCTCAGACCAAATCTGTCTCAGAATCTGATGGAGCACATTCATGCTCCTTAGTGGATAAACCCTTTTTGGACAGTCCATGAACTTTCAGCTTGTGCCACCCTCAGGCAAAAAAAACTTTGTCCACATCTCACAATCTAACAAATACATTGCCATGAAGATTGCAAAGCAGATTTGTTCTGATGAAATGCTCTTTCCTCTGGATCTGATCTCAGGAAAAACTTGAGTAAAATATTACCTAAAGACCAAAATACAGTAGTTAAGTACAGAGGTAAAATATACATTGTAGATTCTGGGTGATACTAGCACAGCCTTTAGCAGATTTTAAGTACTGTATATTTATGTCACCATGCCTCTAATTGTGAATCTTTATTTGCACCAGCAACCTAACCCACAACCGCTGCTCTGATAATCGCTGGCAGAGGTTTTGCGTGAGAGAGGCAGAGCAGTCTCGCGCCTCTGTTTCCTCCATTCACTACCATTTGGCCGAAAGGTCAGATGGGCTATTTCAGAAATGCCCCGAGTGAAAATCAATGGGCAAATCGTGGAGCTCAGTTCCTGTTTGTTGTTGTTGTTAGTGGTGGGTCTGTGTGTTCTGCCTGTTCCATCACAGAGGCAGGAGGCCAGGCAATGCCTAATCATTGGGAGTGAGAGAATGAGAGACAGAGGGGACGAAAACGAGAGACAGAGACAAAGAGATGGAGAGAAAAAGGAGACTTGGGGGTGAGGGTGGAGGGGGAATGTAGGGAGGGAGAGATAGAGAGGGAGTTAAGGCCAGTGGAGATACATCACGATGTCAGACACACAGACGCACTGCAGCCAAAGATTCATCATCGCAGCTGCGTCTGCAGGCACAACTGGACGCAGGAATCAAGTGGAGTGGAGGGAGGACAGGAGAAGAGGGGTGAGGGAAGAGGTGGAAGACAAATTGGTCACTACAGTTGGACAAAAGCTCCTGTTAGGTTCTGTTCGGCTGCAGGAGCAAACCATGTCAGGCCAAGAACTTGAATATTAACACCGTATACCACAGCTCATGTAAACTGATTGATCATAATCTGATGGATCAGTTATAAACCCTCATTGGAATGTGAAGGATTTTATAGATGTGCTGCTACAGGTGAACAACAACGGCTACAGTAAGGGTGAACTGTGTCAGCTGATTTTTTCACCACCTTAGTCAAAGTAATGTCAGTATATTCTCTTGAAAGCGTCCTGGGACTGTGAGAATGTAGGTGTACGAGTCAGTTGCTCTAGATATTGCAGGTTGCATATTATCTGGAGTTTCTCCTGTCAGCCCCACAGTAAAAACTCCAGAGAATGTCTGAACGAGCCCATGAGAAAATACAGCAGGACAAGTTGCCAGATGTGCCGTACACGCAGAAGACACTGACAAAGATACCAACTTGGAAAGAAAAGATTTGAGAGCTTTTGGTAATGTGTCATTGTGCTGTAAACAAACGCACATGATTTTCTCAGAGAAAGT